TATGGCCTAGCGGTAATGTGGAAAGGGACAGATGGTCATCTGATGCACATAATTATAACCCCTGAAAAGGGTGCAACTACACCAGTCACTTCTTTTTGTGAATACTCACGGCTGAATTCCCAACATACCGCCAAAGAGAGTGAGAACAGCACGAAGATATTATCTGCACGTGGCTTCTTGCTACTACAGTAAGACCTGGTGTAAGCGACCTCTGCGTTTAGCAACCACCTGCTCTTAACGATCGTTCTCCATACACCGACAGTTCTGCACAGACATTGTGGGACCTGGTTCTAAAGACCACCTGGCTTTAATGATCGAATTTTGCTTGCACCATGGGGTGGTCGCTTAAACCGGGTTTTACTGTAATAACATAAACTTTGCCCATCTCACATCGGCATCATCCGTGTGCAGCCAGGAGTAAGGACAAGCGGCACTTGACTACTGTGGAGTATAATACGAGCTTGTCACTGCGTGTGATTATGTATTTTACGTTTTTAAGCGAGGGTTCCTAGTTCGAGTCCTGGTTGTTGCAGCCAATTCCTGCCGCAGAGGTTCCCGATGTCAACTGCCCTGTCGAGCTTTTGGGTGTTTTACGTTGAGGTCCTTGTGTTTAATTGAGGGTTATCAGCACGTTATGGTCTGTTGCATGACGACTGTTTCTTCTGTGGCTAAACACGCACCAGTGTTTGTGAGACTTATCAACTCACCCCCACCATTAGGCGCTGGATCTGCCGCTAGGGTTTACCGGGTGTTAGCGGCCGTCGTGAGTTCCCTTCGGGAACACGGACACGATGATTTACTTAATTTACTTTAAACACGTACTTTCCTTTCCGCCTTGCAGGTTTTGTCGAATACCAGTACTGTGCCAACGCCAGCGCCAACTCCAGCGCAGTGCTCCGGCGAACACCAGACTTCGTATACTGGAATCACTCCGAGGCCGTCCAGCGGTGCCATGAAGTGAATGCCCAACTCCTTGGCACAGTTGCTTACGACAGCAAATGCGCTATGCAAATAGCTGTCCAGGGCATCACTGCCTGGGTCGGCTCCTCTTCCGATACAAATGGAAATCCTCGCATCCCAAGCGAGCAGCTTTATGCCATATGCGAATTCGGTAAGTTTGCAGATGGCCTTTGAGGTGCATTCCTCGGCCTACATAGGATTTTAGTACCCGTATGAGCCCACAAAGACCACACAGCATGCATGCTGTCTACAGATTGAGTTAGGATGTTAAAATGTTGCTGGGAATACTGGGCATAACAATCTTGTCTTCAACAACAATGCTACAACCTCATGTAGCCAGTTCGCGGACGACACCGCACTAATTGCCATTGCAGGCAGCTACATAAAGTGTGAGGCTGCGCTACAAAGAAGCATCGATGCCGCAGCAGAATGGCTAGAGCGCTGGCACCTGCTAGTCAATAAAACGAAAACCGTCATCCTCCCGTTCTACCATGCTAACCGACCCCCACCACGACTACCCGAAATAAAACTTGGGCAAACCCTACTAGAAACAGTAGCACAACATCGTCACCTCGGCATCATCTTTCAGCACGACCTAAGATGGTCAGCCCACCTTGACTTTGTGCTGAAGAAAGCCGTAAAATCTTTCAATATTCTCTTTAGGCTCAAATCAACTCTACACACTAAATCACTCTCTCTCATTTACAAAACATATATCCTGCCTATAATTGAATATGCCAGCATTGCTGTCACCCCGCTCTCAAGCGCAGCCCTTGACCGTCTTGAGCGAATCCAGCGCAAGGCGGCCAGAATCTGCCTCCGTCTCCCCCTCTACACTCCTCTGAATAATTCAACACTGCTCCATCGGCTCAAATGGCCGACAATGTTCTCTCGCCGCAAAGTGAAGCTCACCCTTCTTGCTCACTCCATAAAATACCAATATGCCCCACAACACATACGCATGCTCAACACCCCTGCTCAAGTTACGGCCCAGTACAGCCTTCGACACGCACGCACTTGGCAGCTCCCACCCTCCAGAACCGATCGCTGTAAAGACTCCCCACTGTACAAGTCCCTAGAATACTACAGTGCCCTCCCTGCTAGCATTCGTGACGTCTCCTCCCGACCTGCTTTCAAACAAGAAATCTGCTCACTGCTGATTAACTCAATCTGCTCCTGCAGCGCTCACCCTCTCCCATACTTGTAAAGTTCAAAGTGATGTAAATCACTTTCCAACTGTTTAACCCACAATCTCACCTTCTCATAAATTTATCTCTTATTGGCGATGGTGCCATCGTGAGAATAAAGAATTCAAACAAACAACATGTACTGCATATTGCCCTGCTTGGTCCATATCCGAGGATCCTTTTCCTCCTCTTGGCAACAGGGTAAAATCCACTGTTGGGCTCTCATTTCATGGCGTAAGGTACCGACGAGTGAACGGAGTCACAATTGGCTCTCCCTTGAGACCATTTCTGAAACATGTTTTTTTTCCACAGCAAAGTACATTGTTTTACTTCCTCCGTATACAAAATAACACTCCGTGGATATTTTTCAACGGTGCTTTTTGAGCGAGAACCAGCTCAACGAACCGAACCAAAGGCTGTTGGTTGATCCCGAACAGATTCTCCACGGACGCTATGCGTGTGAGGACGTTGCCGCCAGGAACTCGCGAGTCAAGTAAGAAAAATAACAGCAACATTAACCTGCTTGAAACTGGCACAGTGACGCAGTGGAGCTCGCGGCGGGAACACGGAGTCACGCGGCACTCGCTGCCCTGAAGCTGGCCATGCTCTGTACTCACAGCACGACTGCGCGCGGGCTTGTGCCGGTGAGAACACAACGCTGTTCCGCTCGCACAGCAAAATGAAAACATTTCAGTCGTGGTGCAACGAAGACTCGGAATAGACTCAATCTTTCTTTGTATATAGCTTGTCAATAGGTTAGACAATGACACGGGTGTTGTTCTAACTGAAACTGAACAGTTCCAGAGCTGTGCGTGGCCTTCAAAAAAAGTCACGAAGTTTTTGTGTACGGAGGAAATATCTGTGCATGTGTACATCTGTCTCACTTCGTAGCGTGATGGGAGGTGGATTATCTTCAGTGTCCATTCTCTCTATCTCCTCGCGCTTTCTTTTTCCAGCATGCCAGCGCAAAGCTGACGACCACATTCTCAGCATATCAGATCGCGGATATGTCATCTGTGAAACGGGATATATGTACAATCATCCTCAGCCAGTGTGCCAGGGAACCAGCCAGGTTCAAGCATGTGCCTTTGGTAAGTTTGGTATCCTGATCAACTGCCAACAATCCCTCCCGGTGCGTCTGCCCAGTGTTGACTCCGAGACCCACGGTCGGACGAGCTGCCCAGGCCTCACCATCACTGCCGTTTCTGTGCTGCCTTCTCGATACATACGTATGTACACTGTATATCATGTGCACATTCACATATCTGAAGGTTTGTGGTTTTTCAATAAAAAAAATTCCAGCTTTTCAGTTCAGTGAGATCCTACCGGGTGGAATGAGCTGTCGAAAGTCCTTCCAGGGCACCAACAGGCGTTTCTTTACATATCTTTCTTAGGGAATTCCCCTCTTACAATACTGCTCAAGTACTAGTGGTAGTAGTACAGGTCCTCCCTCGTTAGTAGATAATCTCTGGGCCATCGAAAAAGTTATCTTATAACGAGACTTATCTTGTAGCAGGACTTGCAGCTAAAGGTAAACTAGGCACTACTTCGTACTTACCGGGGCTACCCTCGATACAACATAAATTATCGATGCTTCAACTCGTTATAAGATAATTGAAAATCTCCAACATAACTCTTCCTTGGATCCAAAGGATCGTCCATATTCACGAATACATAGACATAGTACGTTTCCTCTTTCGGCTTTATCCTACGTGTTTTGGCCTTGGTCCTGCATGGTCAATATTATCTTATACTGAGGGTTTGGCACTCCAGGGACCTGGGCAAAGGGTCGTTATAACGGATTTATGTACTAACGGATTATGGTATAACCGGACCTGTAAACAGTTGTATAGACCACGTTTCGCCAGGGGATTTCAGATTTCTATTTACTAACGGGGTTTATGTACTAACCGGACTCGTTATAACGAGGGAGGACCTGTAGTAGTAGTAGTAGTGGCAGTGGCAGTGGTAGTGGTAGTGGTAGTGGTAGCGGTAGCGGTAGCGGTAGCGGTAGCGGTAGCGGTAGCAGTAGTAGTAGTATCCATGTGAAGGAGGCTATCACAAACACAGAATGACTGGTAGTTTTGAACTCATTCAAACCTTCCCGGCTCTCTGAGTAGAAAACAGACTTTCTGAATTGATTCCTATAAAACTTGACTTCGCTGACACATGGTGATGACGGCAGAGTTATTTCTATCTAAAATGCATGTACATCATTTTATGAATGAATACGGAAAAGGGCAAATGGTGCTGGTTTTGACAACGAACGCAGTCGCCCTCGCTGACCGTGTAAGATCTGGTCACGTTCTTGAACAGTTAGTAATAACTCGTAAAATTTTGTTCATCTTTTTTACACAAGAGAGAGTTTGGAAGCTTTGTCACAACTCCGAGTTTCATGTATTTCTACGATCATTAGGCAACTGATGGATCCAAAATGGGCAGCCAGAACATAAGGGGGAGCAAGGTGGGAAATTCCTAGGGGTGTCATAGGCGACGCGTATCATAGCGCTAGAGTCAGGTGCAGGCGTGAAGTTGCCAAGTCTTCAGACTTGGGGCTATGCAGCAGTAGTTCCGGCATGAATGATATAGAATAGAGATGGGGACAAATGCAAAATCCACACATGCCCACACCACTACACAAACATACACCCACACTCTCTCCCTTTTCTCACATACACATACACTCACACGCACGTCCGCACACACATCCTCTAAATCTCTCTCTCACACACACACACGCACACACACACACACACACATTCATTCTCTATATCTCACACATGCACACACATGCACACACATTCATTCTCTATATCTCACACACACACACACACGCACATTCTCCAAATCTCACACACACATTCTCTAAATCTTACATACACACACACACATTCTCCAAATCTCACACAAACATTCTGTCTCTCTCTCTCTCACACACACACACACACACACACACACACACACACACACACACACACACACACACACACACACACACACACATATGGCCACAATACTCATCCTTTCATTCTCACACCTACCGCACACATACTTGCACCCGCACTTATCCAATCACCCACACGCACTCTCTTTCTCGCGAATGCACACAAACACACACCCACACACACACACACACACACATGCACGCGCACACTCACACACACTCACACACACACACACACACACACACACACACACACACACACACACACACACACACACACACACACACACACACACACACTTGGCAGCGGGACTACCAGCTAGATTCACTTGACCATGCGCGCAAAGTTACAGAGGTAGAACTTGTTTTCATGACGACACTTGGACACAAGCTCTGACCTCTTGTTGAGGGAGCGGGTCTTGTCGGCCCAGGCAATATCCAGCTTCTCGGCCAGACACAGGTTGCAGCGCTTCGAGATGTTAGAGTATGGTGCGGCTCTCCTCACAACGTACCACCTGATACCGTAAGGTTTGTTTTCATCCTTCAGTCTCCAGATGTGTCTGGACAGTCTCGTTGAGGTCTCGTGCTTCTTGTGGCGAATAGTATGTTGATGACCATTGAATCGTGTCTTGAATGTCCCTTCCGTTAATCCAGTCTACTCCTTCATGTCGCTGCCGGTTACATGTGCCCTGTACACAATGCTCGATGCTAGACAGTTTCCTTCCAAGGGGCAATCATTTTTGACACGGCAGTTGCAGGTTCTCACATCCTTGGTCTTATTCTGGTGGTCGCTGCGGAGGATACTATTGTTGTGTTGCTTGATGATGGTGGCGACATTTGGCATGCAACTGTAACTGAACTTTAGCGTGTTCCGGTGAAATATCTTGTATAATTTGCAACCTTTGTGGAAGTGCTTGCTGACGAATTGCAGGAATCGCTGACCAATGTTCTTGGACACGTTCATCTTTTTTATCCATAATTTCATTGGCTCCGCATCCGAGTTCAATATCATTTTATAATTCATTCTCTCTCTCTACTTTTCGTTGTGTGCCTTGCAATCACCGTTTCACATTAAACTCATGCATGTCGACATGTAGGAAATGCTTACAGCAAAACTAGTCGTCCTTGTTGCTATATTAAAACTGCAGTCTCCGAAACGCTTGTTTCCTTTTCTATTTGCTCAACGAATGGGCCTGGTTTTGTCGTTTTAGGTTGGACGGGCTACCAGTACTGCGCCAAGGCCGACGCTGTCTTCCGAAGAACACCGGACTACTGGATTAAAGACCACAACACCAGTTTAGATCGCTGTGCTGCATCAAACAGCGTCATTCTTAGCCGGAGTGCATTTGATAATGGCTGCGTGTCGAATGTAGTCAGCTTCGACATCAGAGCCTGGGTGGGCAGTCAAGCCGCTAGTAATGGTTTGTTTCCTGACACACTAGGGGAAGATCATGACGGTTCAAGTGAACGCTACATCGTTTGCGAATTCAGTAAGTCCGCATAATACTATAGCTTGCAACAGTACTGGTGGAATGCTGTGCGAGGTGCATTCCTCACTCTGCATACAATTCCCCTCCATATACCGTAAAGCAGGGTAGAAAAGCCGCGGCTTAGGGGCCTTCCGTAAATACCGATATTTATTTAGAAACGTCGTTTTCTCTTCAGCCCCCCTCCCCCTCCCTGAGAAGCGAACACATACAAATGGTACATAGTGTCGATATTTTTGGTCTTTTTTTGTGGACATTCTCACGCATGCAAAATGTACATCGATATTTTTGGAGAAACGAACAGGCGCTCAACCCTCTCCCCCTAAACGACTAGTTTTCGTTTCTGAATAAATATCTATATTTACGAATGGCCCCTTACATCAAGAGTGCATAAACAAGGGTATGCAACTGTGGTTGTGGGCCAGTGCGTGGCGCGCTGCCTTCATTACGTAACTTGCCTCCATCACGCTCTAAAAGCATGCACTCAAACCCACAATTTCTCGTACGAGCCCATCCGTTTTTTGCTCGATTCATTCCAGTACCTACGCGATCTCTAAATTTTGGCGCGTGAACTCCAGTTCCGTACGAAATTCATTTCAAACCAGAGGGAAAGCGCGGTGTTTGATTTTCCGTAGTTCGCGGACTGCAGCTGAATGATGTAATGAAGGCAGCATGCCGTGCATCTGGCCTATAGAAAAGAGATCACAGTTGCATACTCTTGTTTATGGACTCTTGCTTACATGTATATGAGTTTTGGGTTGGGACGTTTTCAGACTTCTATAATGAGAGAGGCTTCTATAAATACGGGTATTTCTATGTGTGTCAACACTAAAACCAGGCTTCTACGTGAGACAGGCTTTAATACAAGACACTGCTGTAATTATTTGTTTGTAGTTGGACATGTTTGATGGTTTGTTTGTTTATTGCTCCCGGGCTTATTTCCACTTTGCACATCTACCGCTCAGGCCCATTGTTCACAGGTATACATACCACTGTACTGTCCATGATTTTCAAAGCGCCACCTGGCGTAACTTGGCTGTCCCTTGGCCAAATCAATGTCGATAGGCTTTTCGACAGTTCATCATATTCTCAGCTGTCGGCACAAAAAAAAAAACTCAAAGCCTATCCAAGTCTCGAACTAAATTACTTCAGCAGAGTAAACTCGTGCACTTTGAACTAATTGTTTGATGCGTGGCCCAAGCAGCCACAGATGGTCCAAATCATCGCAAGCTATCGTCAGTGTACGCTAGTGTGTGTGTGTGTGTGTGCCAGCTAGTTAGGTTGGTAGGTACACTTACTTGGTCCGCGTCAGCAATATTGTCGCTTATCTTTCGACACTTCGAACTTAGCCTTTGGACATGAACGCGTGCACTTGAAGTGATAGCACTTGGTACGATGGACGGTAAGGTATAGAATGACAAGTAGCTGTGAGGAATTTATTGTCCAAGGAAGGGTTCCTACTTTTTATGGTCCTCCTTGTCGCTGCTCTCGGCGCTGGTGACAAATATGTTCGCTCGGGATCGACTCTCTTGCTTTTGCAAGCTCATCTCTCTTCCTCTCTGCTGCCTGGCTATTTTCTAAAGAGAAGTCGATCGTGACGGTCGCCTTTTCTATAGGACTTCGCATGGGCAGCCTGTGTGGTTCGAATCAGATGCCGTTCTTTGAAAGATTTTATTTTGAACGACGACGACGACGCGTACAGTACTTGCAAATCTCCACGATGTGCTGGATACTCCGAGCGTTGAGCTGGAGGTAAGCGAGCTGCAATCTCAGCTTGACGAGCGATCCCAGACTTGAGCGATCTCGGCCGTTCCGCAAAATGGAGCTGATTCCGAGTAACCGATTACTTTCTTGTGGCTTGCGCTGCTCTTGCCTGCACAGCGTAAAAAGATAATCCATTTTGATGCGGCGCTCTATCAATCAGAATCACCCACCCGTCGCTCTCGAAATCCACTCGAACTCTAGCTAGACCTTTCAGGTACAGTGCGTATCGGTTATAGCGTGGTCGTGTAAAAGAATATACTGCCTACAAGAATGAACCCTCATGTTTTCATAATCATAACATGGATTTCAAGTGCACATTTATTCTTACAAGCAATTTTATCCCATAGTAGAATATATCGGTCCTAAGAATGGACTTTGTGTAGCGAAACATGCCAGATTAGTACAAAGTGTATCGCCTGTAGTAATAACATCTGTCCAATTCCGTTCTGATGTGACTCTCGTTGGGTCGTAGTGCTGCAGATTCAACTGTTGTGGCCATGTAACTCATTTTGCATAGCCACATGTAAGCTTATGGGACTATGACCACCCACATGGACAGAAGTACTGCGTTGCATTGAACGATGATCTTCCTGCCCCTGCGCACATGCATATGGTATGCCACACTTGATTTATCGTGTGTAAGAAATATCGGAAATAAGAATAGAAAGTCGTTTTTCAAACACCCACGCTATAACCGATACCTACTGTACTAGTAAACAAACTTGCTAACCAAAATTGGGATGAAATGGGCTACCAAGTAAGCATTGGCGACATATAAACAAAGCTGAAAGATAAGCGACAATATCGCTGACGCGGACCAAGTACGCCAGATCTTGTCGGGCCTGTTGCCAACGGGCTCGGCTGCTTGAAGGTGTATTGTTGTACCTACCACCTTTGTTGGTTTCAGGGTTCATATACTTTCTATTTGAAGTTTACATACCTGTTAGCCATGGACTGCTTCTGGCTAGAGTAACTCTTGTGTAATCAATGGTGCTAGTGAAGCTTACCTTATTTTCCCGGAGCCACACGTTGAACACTCAAATATCATCCAAAAAAATGGGCTTTCGGCTTTTACTCCGATGATCAAATTAACCGGTGCTAAATACTACTAGGGAAGATGTCTGTATTTCCTCGCAAAAAAATGGGGAGTGCGGCTTATACTCCTGAAAGTACGGTATATCAGATCCACTCTGATTTAGTCACCCGCTCTAGTAGCAAGTATTACCTTCACTGGGGCAGATATGAATGCAGTTGGATCCCGGGACGGATACCTTGATGCAGTCAATTCCTTTCCTGCACCTTCTCCTCGACCACTTACTGAGGTGTGGGGAGCCCATACGTGGGATCATTTCCAATTCCACTCATAACTTGAGGATTTCAGTTGGTGTCAGCGGTCGGGTAGTTCAATAGCCAATCGAGTCATCTTTCCAAGATTCCTTTCAGGCTCTCTCCCCTCTCCCGGGGAAACCCAAGTGACTAGTTTTTGGCAGTGAGCATGTGTGTGTGTGTGTGTGTGTTTGTGTGTGTGTGTGTGTGTGTGTGTGTGTGTGTGTGTGTGTATGTGTGTGTGTGTGTGTGTGTGTGTGTGTGTGTGTGTGTGTGTGTGTGTGTGTGTGTGTGTGTGTGTGTGTGTGTGTGTGTGTGTGTGTGTGTGTGTGTGTGTGTGTGTGTGTGTGTGTGTGTGTGTGTGTGTGTGTGTGTGTGTGTGTTCACAAGAACATTTGTAAACTGACTACATTAATTAACATCGTTAGGTGGAGGGAGGCAAAATACTAGTACTATTACATGATCTTCACTTTCGTTTTTCTCTTGTTGTTTCTTGTGTTTAGACTGCAAGCGCAAAGCCGGTGATCACATAACCAGCATATCAGATGATGGACATGTCACATGTGAACCAGGGTCTGTGTACAATCATCCTCAGCCAGTCTGCCAGGGAACTACAGGGGTTCAAGCATGTACCTTTGGTAAGTTTGGTAGAGCGTAGTGCAGTGCTGTAGTAATCACGCTGTGATGTAATGCAGTGCTGTGTCAATCACGCTATGATGTAGTACAGTGCTGTATCAATCACGCTTTGATGTAATGCAGTGCTGTATCAATCACGCTATGATGTAATGCAGGGCTGTATCGATCACGCTATGATGTAATGCAGTGCTGTATCAATCACGCTATGATGTAATGCAGGGCTGTATTGATCACGCTATGATGTACATATAGTGCAGTGCTGTATCAATCACGCTACGATGTAATGCAGTGCTGTATCAATCACGCTACGATGCAGTGCAGTGCTGTATCAATCACGCTATGATGTAGTGCAGTGCTGTATCAATCACGCTATGATGTAATGCAGTGCTGTATCAATCACGCTATGATGTGATGCAGTGCTGTATCAATCACGCTATGATGCAGTGCAGTGCTGTATCAATCACGCTATGATGTAGTGCAGTGCCGTATCAATCACGCTATGATGTAATGCAGTGCTGTATCAATCGCGTTATGATGTAGTGCAGTGCTGTATCAATCACGCTATGATGTAGTGCAGTGCTGTGATTCACACGTTTACTTTGTGGGTAACCAGCATCTAGACTAGTTTATCTCATTGTTGTCTGATGATGGGCTGGTGCATGAAAGTTACAACAAACCTTTTCTTCCTCTACTTCTTGCTAGTATGTAGTATGATGGGTGTTTTTCACGTGACTATATTCGTGCTTTTCTCCTTGCAGAATTCGTCAAGTACCACTACTGCGCTAAGACAGGTGTGGTGCTCAGGCGAACACGTGATCACAAGATCTACAGCCATCCGAAGAGCGTGGCTCTGTGTACCAACGCAGCCACCAGCATTCTCAGCCAGAAGGCGTTTGCCAGCGGATGCACAGCGGGCATAGTAAGCCAGGACATCCTAGCCTGGGTGGGTGGCAGCGCGGTCAGCGGTTATCTGTCCGACACCCGGGAACTTGTGATCAGCGTCAACGACACGGCTGTGAAGCGCTACGCCGTGTGCGAATTCAGTAAGTCTTCCTGCAGCTTGATAAGCCAATGTAATGTGTTCTAACATAATACTCTGGCTGTTTGCAAGCATGACTTGCGCGGGGCTACACGTAAAAAAATCATGGCTCGCGTGAGAGTCGGTTTCTCTATATAGAGGCCGAGTTTTCCGCATCCGTAGGAACACCACCACCCTTCAAGGATCAAGGCGCAGATGCAGCTCCTAATGCGGTGGGAGGTGAGTAGATCAGCTCACCAGCATGTGGTCAAAGACCGAGAATCCCATTCACTGCATCCATGTTTCCCTCGTGTTTTCCTCATGCCAGGCCACGAGTTCCCAATTAAGTGTGGGTCGCAGCACGGCTACGCGTTTGACATCATCAAATATACCGTCCTGTTCAATGAAATCCAGTTACGTTACTGGCATTTGCGCCAATTTTGCACCACAGCCCAGAATTCGCTAACACCCTTGTTGCAGTGCGATTTCCTGTCATTTCGTGGAGACAACTCTAGAAGACTGTATTCGCTTATTGGTTTCAATCATACTCTCAAATCAACAAGAAACAACCCAGAACAACGATCGCCAAATCGCTGTCCTCAGCAAAACATGCCCGCGTGCGTGCATTTGGCTTGCGCCGCATGCATGCACACAACGTACATGGCACAGAGAGAAAATGCAGGGCACAGAAAATGCATGAATCATCGTAGCCATAGAGATACTAAATATGGCGACTGCCAAAGTCCGCGTGCAGCGTGGAGTGCAGGTGCAACGAAAGAAAAGCCAGAATATTTGAATGCAGAACAAACAGAAACTGACATAATCTGCTGAAGTGAACGGATGAGGAATAATAGATTACGGAGGCGAAGCGTTGTCTGTCAGGGGGTGCTTGTGCCAAGCGACAGGGTGACAGAACACCCTGTCAGCGAGAGTAAGTTCTACAACATAGAATAAATCGCAGTTGCCGCGGAAAGCGATAATACAATGAATCGAGTAAGTACATTGTCACTGCTTAGTTTGTCAACAATTCTACTTTTATACAGTGAAACCTGTCTAAGGGGTAAGGGGGTGATTATATGTGCAGCTCCAGCCCGGGCTGGTCGACAGAAGGGCCAGCCCGCCTGCAACGAGATCTCGGGGTTGTACACAAATCCACACAAAACCTGTGGTGTGTTTACATGGCAAGCGGGCTGGCCCGGCGAGGCGGGATCCCGCCCCGATGCACCCGGGATCCCGCCCGAGGCACCCGGGATCCCGGCTAGGCGGGCCAGAAAAAGCACATATAAACAGACCAGCCCGAGCCAGAGTTGTATTATTATGGTGTCGACACTGCGTGCATACTACAAAATAGGTACTTTTACCTTTTGATCGAAGTTGTAAAGAGGATTCCCGATATTGTCTTGAAACTCTATGAAGCTTTTTGTACAGCAACAATAAGGACGTGCAGTGAGCACTGTTTATTTGTCGACATGCATGATTTACATTAAAATGGAAGGGGAACTACTTGCAAAACACTTTGATATGGACAGCTAAAAATGTGAAAAACAGGAAAAAGAAACGAGGTGATACAACACACCAAACATGCGCCACAGTGCGAAAAGAAATCAGCAGAAGTATACATTGTGTGAGAAAAAGGTTTTCAGGTTTATAACCTGAGGATGGCTTGCAGCCCTGCGTTTCAGCCCGGGGCAGCACACTACAATCGTAGTGTGTTTGCTGCATACTCACAACGAGCTGGCGTGTGCTCAGCGCATATAAACTCACTGCGGGCTGGCGACCAGCCCGGCCTTGCACATGTAAATGCCCTTGGCGGGCTGGCCCGCTCGCTCCAGCCCGGGCTGGAGTTGCACATATAATAGGCCTCTAAGAGGAATGCTCAGGGGACCTTCAAAAATATGGTCTCTGTTGCCAGGTGGTCTCCTTATCCAGGGTCAATTGACTGGAAATAGCATCCCTTGGTCCTGGCTCCAGTGGTCTTTTAGGACAGGTGGTCGCCTTATCCGAGTGGTCGCCTTGACAGGTTTAACTGTAATGCACAAACCACAAGATGTTCCGCTCGTGAACATGTCATGGCACTATGTACGAGCACGCATAGCAATTACTGTATCGTAAAATGTGTCTTGACGTAAACACATCGTACTACTCGTAGATGTAGCAAACGAGAGAGCTTGGAAGCTCAGGACCCTATGCTATGCTTTTTTGCTTTGGTGACCTAGGCAAAAAAAGAATAGTAAATTTATCATTTCTATACAAAAGAGAAAGACCAAGGAACTACAAGATCCACAGCCCCCCCTCCCCGTGAGCTTATCCATTGGATCCCTAACTCACATTTTTCACTACAAGGTTTTGTTTTTTGTGTTCCGTTGCCCACATGATCTTGCAAGTCCTCTTTTCTGCACCTACTTTCAGTTGCCGGCTAATACAGGCCAAGCATCCCTGCAAGTGCCTTTCCTTCCTGGACCTTCCGGTCGTCACATTTGTGGGAAGCACTCTTTGGAATGCCCTCCCCAGTGATATTCGCCTCCACAGTGCGGCTTTTGCCTTTAAACTGGCTCTGAACAGAATTAATTGTAACTTGTAACCAGTGTTAATCGCGCTCCTTTCTTGCCTACACATTACTGCATGTTTTCTCTGTGTGTTCTGCACTGCATGCTTACACATACACACACCCATTTGAATTATATACATACTTTGTGCTTTGGCATTATCATGTTATGATTCTTTGTAATATTTTTTATATTTTCTCTCATAAGATTATATTCGTTCTCAGCAGGAACCGGAGGTTTTTCCTCTGGTGAGAAGGCAGACTGAATGATTGCCTGTGCTCTAAACGAATTCAAATAAAAGAAACAAACAGGTTACGCTATACTGTCCACTAACACCACCAGTTACTAAACAATCAGCTCATGCGATAACATTGCACGACACTGACCGATCATTATCATTTCTCCTTTTTTCCCCAGACATAACCTGGGATTCGAACCTGCACTATCGCCCTGCGTGCATCCCCCATACACTTCGCATACGTACTAATTCTTCCTAGTTGCTTCACGTTATGATCTTGCATTTGAAAGCCCTATTTGAATATCGTGGCCAGCTGTTTGTGGCCAGCTGTCTTTGATGGTACGGTACGGTACGGGACAGATACGGGAGCCAGCAAATATTGTGGCCAGCTGTTTGTGGCCAGCTGTGTTTGATGGTACGGTACGGTACGGAACAGATACGTGATAGCGCCAGACGTGACACAAACACACAAACAAACAAATACCAAATTAAAGCTGTGTGGACCCTGACTAGCGCCAGGCGTTACTGAAGTGATGTCTTCTGCATATCTTCGGGAATTAAAGCTGTGTGGACCCTGGCTAACGCCAGACGTTACTGAAGTAACGTCTTCTGCATAGCTACGAGAACAGACAGATACGGGACAGATACAGGACAGATACGGGATAGCTCCAGGCATGACACAAACACACAAACAAACAAATACCAAAATTAAAGCTGTGTGGACTCTGGCTAGCGCCAGACGTTACTGAAGTAACGTCTTCTGCATAGCTACGGGAATAATGCACTCATGATGTAATTGTAAAACACCAACGAATTCTAACACACATACTTCGAAGTAACAAAAAATATCACACTCGTGAAATGCATAGCAGTAATACACACTACACCAAGATTAGCATGTCCTTCTGACAATACTGCACCTGCAGCATGTTACAGTTCTGCACATAATTCGAAAATACAATACACTAATAGTATTAACGTGCAACGTGTGACAATATGCGACAGTTCTAAAGAATAATGTTCAAGAGCGCAGCCTCCTGTCCAATCACACTCGTAAATCTCGCACACTCCCTCCTTGACAACATGACAACTGACACTCGTAAATCTCGCACAGATCATAACTTCAGTTCTACTCACTCAATATTCATTATCTTGGGCTTTGTTAGATATTGCATGCGTCTTCACCTTGTACATTGTCTCTGATTGGACAGCTGCACTTTCGATGCATTTCTACATGTAGTATTTATTGCTACTGTGTGTTACCGTCGGACAACATTACGATGTATTGTTACATGTACGTTCTATGTCAAGTCAACCCTGTTCCCATTCGTTTCAGTCTAGTTCTATACTTACTGCCATGACTTGTCCCGTTTATGGTTATACAGTCTTCTTCTTTTCCTGTCGTATTGCTTTCGTTTACCGGAGACTTCTACGGTATGTCTCTATTCGCCTCCACGATGTCCTTATCCTGACACTAGCATTTTCCGCGTCGCGTACGGCTGGTGGGAATATCTACCCCAGCCGTCGTGATGTAGACGCTTCCTCATCATTACTACTTGGAGGACAACCACGAGTTCGAGTACCTCTGATACTGATGATAATGATTCTTACTGAAGTATGACGAGAATTGTTTCTGAGTGGCAAGACACTGAGTGTCTATGTGTAATAACTAAATGAGCTCAACGAAGAGCCAAAACGTCCTTTAGGATTCTACTACTACTAGTACGGGCAGAACCAGAGTAGGATCTCTAAAAGGCTTCGTGGAAGAGGAACGATACCCAGGAGAGAATGAATGAATTGACGGCATTATGTACTGGTAGGAATTATGGAACAATGTATGGCAAAGAGGTGATGAAACAGCTCAAAGAAGAACAGCTAAAAACAACAGTGCCTTACAGTGATGAGTCGGGGAAGTGAACTGCCTGAAAAGGGAAACAAATACAAGATCCACCAGGACTCGAACCCGGGATTTTGCTTTCTAGGGCGTTCACTTGCCCGACTGATCCTTTGAAATTTGAAGTTTTCCCAATCCTTTTTAAAAGACTTTTTTTAATTCTCTGTTCTCCATCTCATCGCTTCCCCTATTCAGACTGCACACGCAAAGCCGGTGATCACATTATCCGCGTATCCGCTGACGGAACTGTCCAATGTGAAGCTGGGTTTGAGTACAATCATCCTCAGCCAGTGTGTCAGGGAACAAGCCAGGTTCAACCGTGTACTCGCAGTAAGTCACTGTTATCGTCTAGCAGTTGTAGTTTTTATTATTTCACCAGGGGAGTCCCAACAGGTTACGGCCATTTTGGTGGGAACACTAGGTGAAGTTTAACCATGTTTATGAACAGAGCAAGAGACTGGGCCCGTCGACAGTCAGCTGGAAGGGAATTCCATCTGCCTGCCTCCAGAAAACAAATTTAATAGAACGCAGGCCACGCGGCGTTTGAACAAGTTGGAGAACTAAGGCTCTTTGTGCTTTGTCCCGGGTGCATGCTTGGTCACCTTTTCCCTGTGCTCATTCAGAAAATAATTCACGGTTCGAGACCGAGTTTTCCGGCGGAAGCAGTTTTGAAGTTTGTTCTCTTTTTTGTCGTTTCCAATATTTAGTCTGCAATCGCAGCGGTGGTGATGATCGCATTGCCAACATATCCGCTGACTGGCGTGTCACGTGTGTGGCCGGGTATGAGTACACCCATCCTCAACCAGTGTGCCACGGAACGGGCTTGGTCGGGGTGTGCACCCGCAGTAAGTCGGCTGTCACGTTTTTTTCAAATAATCATGTTTTTAAAGTTTCTTTGTTCTCACGATGGCACCATCGCCAATAGGAGATCAGTTTGTGAGAAGGTGAGATGCTGTGACCGGGGCTGCGGGTTATGCAGTTGGAACGTGATTCGCTTGTTGTTGCTGCGGCTTCTGACTGCCTAGCTGTACTCGAGTGCAGTGCTCTCGGGTGTCGAAGAGCGAAGCAGCGAAGAACGGACTGGCTAGGATCTCGACAAGCACAGCGTACTGTAGAACATGTTATTTTCGGTGTAACTTCAGTTTCGGTGATTTCGTTAGAGAAACCAGGCACATACTGTATTTCCCAGATTATACGTCTCACCTTTTTACACTAAACTTCATTCCCAACAAAGGGGGTGCGACTTACAATCGAGCATGACTTACTACTGAAGTGAATATATCAAATCAATATCGCTCAAACCTGAAAATGGGGGTGCGACTTATAATCGAGTGCGACTGCTGATCGGCGAAACGAGAGAGCTTGGAAGCTCAGGGCCCTACGCTATGCTTTTTTGCCTAGATCATCTTACATGTTATTAGAACTGATGGAAATTGTTTTCGTTGATTGGCCTTTAGCATTTTACCGTTCACGCTATATTCGGCGGTAGGCCTGCACCGTTTTTTGTGTGTGTAGACATGGCATTTTACAGTTCACGCGCTAGATCCAACGGTACTCGTACCCCAAACCCAAAATACCGTCGGTTTGGTACCGTTTCGACGATAGAAAGCTCTTTTTAGCGGGAGAACGAAACGGTAAGATTCTAACTAGGGTTACCTCACACGTCTATCGTTGCGTCAGGAGTCAGGACTCAGAAGCTGAACTGCTAACCGTTTCTCGAAAAAACCAAAAAACAGTAGACTCGCCATCTACACGCCGACGATCGAAATAGCGTGAACGGTAAAATGCTAACCATGTCTATAGTATAGCAAAAACGTTTCGCTCAGTTATACACGTAGATCATGTCCATGATGCCTTTCCTCTGCGCAGGTCGACCGCACTATTGTTTTTAAGATTAACATAATTATTATTACTTCTGCATATGCATTACATGCTATGATCATGCTGGCTCCATCCCTTATCTCCTAAGCGAATTTGTTTCTTTGTGACCAGCTGTTATGTACAATCCTGAAGAGCCTTTGTAGTCACAGATACGGGACAGATACGGGATAGCTCCAGGCGTGACACAAACACACAAACAAACAAACAAATACCAAATTAAAGCTGTGTGGACCCTGGCTAGCGCCAGACGTTACTAAAGTAACGTCTTCTGCATAGCTACGGGAATAAGGTAAATTAGACTACACCTAAAAGCCACTCGTATATGCACTGAAATTGAAGGGAATGCTGGTCACCTTATTCTACGTAATGCTTGAAACCTGTCAGGGCCCTGGCACCGAAATTTTATTACACCCGAAATTACATGTTTTACAGTAGCCATATAGTGCAGGGTGACTCTACTGCGCATAGACTGCTATACAATCACTGCGACTGCTATACAATCACTGCGACTGCTATACAATCACTGCGACTGCTATACAATCACTGTGACTGCTATACAATCACTGCGACTGCTATACAATCACTGCGACTGCTATACAATCACTGCGACTGCTATACAATCACTGCGACTGCTATACAATCACTGCGACTGCTATACAATCACTGCGACTGCTATACAATCACTGCGACTGCTATACAATCACTGCGACTGCTATACAATCACTGCGACTGCTATACAATCACTGCGACTGCTATACAATCACTGCGACTGCTATACAATCATGAAGATCTGGGCTACGAGGCTGACCCCCCCCCCCCCCTACAGACACACACACACACACACAAACACACACACACACACACATACACAAACACACACACACACACACACACACACACACACATACACACACATACCTTTGACCTTTTGACGCCCATCGCCGGAGTCGATGATAGCAATGCTATGGCAGAAGCCATAGCAACTTGTGCTGGGATTGCACCATTCAACAGCTTGCAAGGCTGAAGAATTGACACTCGCTATTCAGCCTGGTCTACACCATACAGCTATTTGAAGTGACTTTTTCTGGCCAGTGAATCCCTTTTTTTTGTCTTTTAACTTTTTCCCCGCACACACCATCACACCACATACTCCGGCATGCACTGGCTGTTGGCAACCACCCAGGAGAATGAAAGAAAAGTCAGGAAGAGTCTGAGAAAGAGAAGAAAGACGTGTGTGACCATAATCGTCGGGAATCGAACCCGCAACCTATCGATTGGAAATCGCTGCACATACCACTGCACCATATGGGACACACACACCCCAGAAACACACAGGTACACACACACACACGCACGCACGCACGCACGCACACACACACACACATACACATACACATACACACACACACACAACACCAGCACAAGTTCTTTGTCCCCCAACAGTACTGTATTGCGTTGTGCTAACTTAACTCCCAGCGCCAGTGGCCATTGTGGGCCTTCCTGGGACAGAAATGTTCATTTCCTGGACGATCATCCTATATCTAACTACACCGTCACAGTTCCGCTTTTCAAACCATAGCCTTTCCAACCACCAAAAGGGAAGTTTAACCCTTTTGCGTCCACCAAGCCCGGCCCATGCACAATTTTGATCATAACTTTGGTTTTCCTTCGGCACATTAGGAGATTTTGGGCGTTGTGAAAAGCTTGAGCTCTGAAGAGTACTCTAGCACCCGGATCTGCCCGGTTCAGGATTGTGAGGTTTTGTGCTTTCCACTTGGTACGCCGTGCATTGCGTGAGCTCGAAATAAGACAAGATCCAATTTCAGCTCATTCGGTGGAGGGATGTACTCAAAGTAAGCTGTTTGATTTTCACTCTGTTTTTCTTTCCTTTTTCTCTCTTTTGTCTTGTCCATTGTTTAGTCTGCACACACACGACTGATGATCACATTCATAACATTACGGTTGACGGAAACGTCACCTGCCAACCGGGCTATGAGTACAAACATCCTCAGCCAGCATGCCAGATAACGACTCGGGCCCTATCGTGCACTCCCCGTAAGTTTGGTAAAAATTGCCGATTGTTATCAGCTTAAAAAAAGGGGCGACAGAACACAGGGCTCGACAGACATGGCAACAACCTTGTCACAGTAATCCAAAGAACATCGTTTGAACAATTTTAGAGAGCAATAATACTATTTTCTGGACACACAAATTGGGCTTATGAATGCGCTGACGAAAATAGCTTGTGTTTTTGTCAGCCTTTTTCTTTTTTCTTTATTCTCACATTGTTGTTGCTGATACACACATGCAACGCTTTGTTCTCATGTTTTCAATGGGTTTGTGTTGTCGTCACCAGGCAAGCTTGGCTTGCCTTTGCGTAAGCCGAATGGAACAAAGATGTGAGGAGCGAGCAGGGTCACTGTGATTAATGGTGCTGCATTAATGGGGCGTGTGCATTGTTTTCCTGCCATTCGGCTCAACGGGTGCGAGTCCACTGCCACAAAACACACTGGCATGGCAGCTCTGTATAGAAACTCATGAACTGTGTACCGTCATGCTCACACATGTACTAGAACCTGCTAGAGCCGACCTGATATAGTACACAATCAAATACTGACCACCAACTTCTGATGTATGGCTGGCAGTCTAGATGTGTCCAACTGTGATCATTTCAGGTAGCAATGACTTTGAGAATACATTCTGGAAGCACAGCGCACAATTCCTGCATGTAAAACATTCATAGTGAATACCATCCATCTGCACTGTACTATCACGACTGATCATCTACTGCTGAAGTGAGCCGGCCCAAATGAAGGGGGCTAGCAAGAGTACATGAACCCCAGAATGTGCAGCTTAGGACTTTTTTTGCATGGGTGTGTGTTGCGGCAATTCCGGGAATACATTATATTTGGTGCAGATCTGAGGCGGGAAGTGGCGGAGTGCATACAACCAAGAGTGCATTATCCTGCATTACCCCCCAGAGTGTGCAGCGCCTGATCCAACCCTGCATATGGTCTTGGTCGAGCGTAATCGGTTCTTTGCGTCATAATACCGTATGCATCCGAAGGGAACCCGGGGAGTCCCGGGACTCTCGGATCAAAAATAACGGTGCCCTGCCTCGAGACCGGCCTTGCGCTGGTGTGGAGTGTACGCATGACATCAGAAGACCCTATTACCCTCGACCAAGACCCTATGCAGAGCTGGATCAGGCGTTGCACACTCTGGGGGGGGGGGATAATTATGTACTCTTGATACAACTGAGCTGCAGTGGTGCAACAAGACACCTGCTTGAATCTAGCTTGTTCGCACTAGATCACCACAATGATGTAATCCCAGAATTCCGTAATGGCTGCAACCCATCCCAGCTGCACACTCTGGGTTTCATGTACGCTTGGTGTAAGCACACACACACACACACACACACACGCACGCACACACACACACACACACACACACACACACACACACACACACACACACACATACACACACACATACACACACACATACACACACACACACACACACACACACACGCACACACACACACACACACACACACACACACACCTTTGGACCTTTGGAAAGCCCATCGCCGAAGGCGATGATAGCTATTAGGCGAGGCAGTAGTTATTGTGTCGGGATAAATCATTCGGACGGCAAAAGTCGCGGCCGCAGTAACAGACGAACACTCTTGGTTGGGGCTGGCTTGGTGGCTTCCGACGGCTACGTTTGCGCCAGTCCCTCCGGTCCTGAGCAAGGTGGTACCATTGCGCCTCCGGGATACTGGTCGCACGCAGGTCTGAAGCTGCCACATCTCTCCAACGACGCTTGGGTCCATGGCGGGGCTGCGTGTTAGTGCCCTCCACAAACAGGATCTGCTTTATCAACCTGGTGTCGTCCATCCTTGCGAGGTGACCAAGCCATCGCAGGCGATTCGCACGAATGGCCTTCTCCAGCGAGGCTGGCATGCCGCTGCGCTTCGCGCGCACACACACACACACACACACACACACACACACACACACACACAATGAATGACTGAAGGCTTAGTTTCTAGCAAGAAATACATCCATGATGCGCAGTCATTCTTTACATGCATCTGCACACTTAGGTGGAGCGGCGTGACTCCAACGTTTTCTTCTGACGATTATCAGATCCAATACACCACTGAGTGGTGGACATAGAACACCGGGATATTATGCAAGCTGGTGTTTCAAAATGAATGTACGAACTAAAGAATAACAACAGCGATGATCGAGGTACAGTCAGTGGTGCGAAATGGGAATTTGATAAAATCAAAACGTGTAAGAAAAAAGGAAGAGGGAGAGGGCAAAAAACACCAATATGATTGTTACGTTTGTCATCTGGTTTTACAGAAATCCTCATCATAATATTCATGTGTTGAATTAAGGGTGGTTACCCTTTCACAATCTAGAGTATGATGATTGGGTTCCCGGCCTGTGACTACATACATACATTCTCCTTGCAGGTTTGGTCCAATATCAATACTGTGCGAAGACTAATGCGGTTGTCCGACGAACATTTGACAACCAGTACTTGAACCACCCGAATGCCGTGACGCTTTGCCACAACGCAAATGCCAGTATCCTTAGCACTAGTGCTTTCGATGCGGGGTGTGCATCAAATGTAACTGGCCAATGGTACATTGGCTGGGTCGACAAACAGACCACTACTGGTTCCGTATCTGATACCAATGGAAATAGGCGTACCCCATCCGATGAAATTTATGCCATGTGCGAAATCAGTAAGTTTGCGTATATCTTCTCAGTGTATTTGTGGAAGTTTGTATGAGGTGTATTGCTACGCATATATAGCGTCATCCAGTCATCATGCATGTTATCAAGAGTACATAACCCCCCAGGGTGTGCAACTCCACTATGGGTGCTGTCCCGACAGAATTTCAAGTTGACGTCATTTTGATGATGCAATGCGCACTGTACACGGATTACCAGACGAATCCGGAACCTGTGGTTGACCGAAGCCGATCGATCCTGTACAAATTATTGCAAAGAAAAACGTGTGATGCGTTGACACCCGTACACATGTTGTAAATCACTGCTGCAAGGAGCATTGCGTCATAAATAATGACGTCAACTTGAAATTCTGTCGGGACAGCAGGGTGTGTGGGAGTTGCACACTCTGGGGGGTTATGTACTCTTGATGTTATTCGAACTGATAGAAACGTCTTTGAAATACAAAACAGTCATATCGGTGCCCGAAATTGCTAATCTGTTTGAAATGCACTGTAATTTGGAGGCAGATAAACGTGTTTGAATTACGTTTTCTGCTTCCCTTTGTCCTTCTTCGTATCCAGCCTGCAAGCGCATGGCGCAGGATCACATTCTCAGCATATCAGCTATGGGACATGTCACTTGTGAACAAGGTTATCAGTACCTTCATCCTCAACCAGTGTGCAATGGAACGAATCAGGTTCAAGCGTGTACTCCACGTAAGTTTGGTGCATTGCAACCTGTCTAAGACGACCGCCGCTCAAGGGACCTCTTCAAAACGCGGTCTCTGCTACCAGGTGGCCTTCTTAGCCAGGGTCATTTGACTGAAACTATCACCTCTTGGTCCTGGTTGCAGTGGTCTTCTGGAACATGTGGTCGCCTCATATGATTGGTCGCCTTGTCAGGTTTCACTGTACAAAGATCAAAGGCCCTCCACAACAGGCTCTCAACAACAGCAAGGACAGTTTTTCTGAAAGCCAACGGTTTCTGGTAAACATTTGCAGTGGCGCCAGCAAAGGAGTTTCATCCTGGCTCTCGTCATCGCCAGGAGTTGCCAATGGTACGGTATTGAATCGCTCGGATTTCAGAGACGCTATCGCCATTCGCTACGGCTTGCAGCTGGATGGCCTATCCCTAAATTGTGTGTGCGGCAAGGCAATGACTGTGGACCATGCGATGACCTGCCCTTGCGGAGGGTATCCAACCGCCAGACACAATGAGGTCCGGGATCTCCTAGCAGATGTAATGCGTGCAGTTGTTCAAGACGTGGAGGTTAAGCTGAAGCTCCTGTAGTAGCTGGCTCTCGGAGACAATTTCACACACTCAAATAAAGCACTCACTTTGTGGTTTTACGAATAATCGTAAGGACAGAATATTAGTTGCACATTCGGCAAGTAAAGATAAGAAGTGACAGAGCACAAGAAAAGAACAATGTAAGAAGACAAAACACACGGCGAGCGGCAGCCATGTTTTCTGTCAGTGACCAATGAGCACTCTTCGATAACCGGTTACCGACAATATTGAGCACATTCTGGAATATTAGAATAAGCGGCCAATCATAGTTCGCCAAAGAGAGTCACATGGGTAAAGTGGAGAAATACGGGTTTTAGCTATACACAACTCATGAGTGACTCACGGAAAGATACAAAAACATGCAAGGAGAGAAAAATGTCACTACCGTCAATCCTGGGGTTTGAACCTAGGAATCAATGTAGGAATCAGTGTAGGAATCAGTGTAGGAATCAGTGTAGGAATCAGTGTAGGAATCAGTGTAGGAATCAATGTAGGAATCAATGTAGGAATCAGTGTAGGAATCAGTGTAGGAATCAGTGTAGGAATCAGTGTAGGAATCAGTGTAGAAATCAGTGTAGGAATCAATGTAGGAATCAGTGTAGGAATCAGTGTAGGAATCAGTGTAGGAATCAGTGTAGGAATCAGTGTAGGAATCAGTGTATGAATCAGTGTAGGAATCAGTGTAGGAATCAATGTCTGGTCTATCAAATAATGCAACTCCTACTTCCTCCGCCCAGGCAGAAGTTTTGCTTATCTCCTTCAGCCCAATGACAGGTGTCTGGCAGCAATGTTTGCCTTTTGTGCATTTCACCATCACACATATCTGCTGGTTCAGACGTACCAGTTCCAAACAAGTTGGCAAAGTCGGCAAAGAGTAAAGAAACACCTAGAGTAGAGCGCGTTGAACGCGAGTGGACTGGTAAAATAGACACGAAGTCAGTCACTGGTCAAGGTGGGTGGCTGGGTGCTGCTAGAGTACCACTGGAGTACAGAGCAGAGGTGTCATGTTGTGAAAAGCCAGCGTGTTTGATTGCATCCGGCACAAGATGTGTGTACGGTTAAAATGCACGTGAGCTTGAAGCTGAGAAAGCCACTCAGCGACGCTCGCCCAAATACTGCAAAACGAACCAGAATCGGCACTGGAAAAAACAGGGGAAAAGAAAGGCTTCGATGACAGGGTCGTCACTGACCCAGCTCATTCGCCTAATGTCAACGTGAACGATCCTGAAGCGACGCTGAGCCCGTCAGCTTCGGCTGGTAAGAAACACGACCGATCGTACTCATGAAGGAGTGAAGCGCCTAGAAAAGTGTCGATACAAAATATTTGCGCTTCTGGAAAGTGCGAAGTACTACCCAACAACAAGTGCTGCGTCGGCTGATGACAAAGGATGACTTCTACATCTTTCGACTTGGAGAGTTTCTCTTGATGTTCAACGACTCCTGAACTCATTCTGAGTCGTTATAAGCCGTTCTGAGAACCTAGAATGTATCAGTAAAAGATGGAAAGATAAGCGAAAATGTTGCTTGGGCAGAGGAAGTACACTCCTTCCATATCAGGAGGAGCAGCTCCAGGGGGTGACGGCAAATCACTCCGTTGAGGCTCGTGTTGACATACGGGCTGGTGGTATTTGGACGCGGCAGCAGGAGGCCTTCTTCGATATCCGGGTGATGCACACTAGGGCCAGCTTGCTGTCGCGTTCCAAAGTCACGAGTCGTTTGGAGCGTAACAAAGGAAAGAAGAGGCGGCAGTATGGCGAGAGGAACAATACAGTTGATAGAGGGAGTTTCACTCCGCTTGTGTTTGCGGCAAATGGCATGGCTGGGAAGGAATGCACCATATTTTTGAAATCTCTAGTTAGCCTGATTCTCGAGAAGAATATCGATCTATCGTACTCTGTTGTCATGAGTCATTTGCGCTGTCCTTTATCGTTCTGTCTCCTTCCTTGGTGCATCACTTGTTTGCGTGGCCGCAGAGCGTCCTATCGTACTAAGCGCACTGCAAATTTTGTTCATGAATGTCGTGAACTGTCGTCGCGTGTTCAAATGTCTCGCTCAGTCTGCAAAAGATCTCCAGTTATTGATTTTTGTTTTGTATTTGTTTTTTTTTTTTTTTTTGTGTTTGTTTGTTTTTCTATTACGAATGATCTCTTCCATGTAATCCCTGTTTCGTGCCTTGGAGTTACAATTGTGTTCTTTTCTTGTTTTCTCGCAAGCTTCTCTGATTATTGATTTTGAATTGCCTTCATCATTGTTTTGCTTTGCATTTCTTTTTCTTTTTGTTCCTTTTACATATTTATAACTTCGGGTTCTTTCAAATAAAGATTTTGAGTAGCAGTTGTAGTAGTAGTAGTAGTTGTTGTAGCAAGAGTAGATAAACAAGAGTGTACAACTCCGGGATGGGTTGGCCCGCGGCGGAATTTATTGTTGACGTAATCTTTTCAACGATGCACGCGCTGCGAGTCTTTTGGAAAGTTTTGCCTCGTGCACTTGGCCGGGCTTTACATTACAAAGTCGGTGCCCAGCACGTGCTCTCACACTGCTCTGGGGCAAAATGCGCGTTCTTCTGAAAAAAGGTGACGTCAACAAAAAATTCCGCCACGAGCGGGAGTATCTGCAGATTGTGCAGAAGAGATCCGGAGTTGCACACTCTTGTTTATCTACTCTTGGTAGTAGTAATCAAGGTCGGATTGTGACTTTGTGTAGCTTTTGTTGTTCTCTGCGTGCCGAAGTCTCAGTGTGAATCATTCATGCACACTTTACATTTTTCAAAGCATTCGTCTAGGGAATGAGTTGAATCTTTTACACAACCTTGTTACACCTGCCTTGAGTTTCTTTGGATTACACCTTTTCAAATTTTCATTTTCATTTCATCGTCGAGTTTCATCCCTTGGATCTTTGGTTTTCTTCCTTCTTTCCATGTTGTATTGTTTGAATAAGCCCGTTTTGGTGTGTACTTGATCCGACTTACGAGAGCATGTCTGAGAATACCAGAGTATGTGTAGAAGTAGTCAACTCACCACCCAAACCTGTAGATCGAAAACGAACGTCCCCTCAGTAACCATTTCTTGCGTGTGGTTTCTTTCTTTGCAGACGGATTGTAAGAATATTAAATGAATTCTTTCCGTGACCAAGGTATGACGGCACTCCAGTAATACGCTTACGGCAAGACTTGTCCGAGGATACTTGCCACATGAGAGTGTGTATGTGTCTGTGTGTATGTCTGTGTGTGTGTTTTTTTTTTGTGTACGCACGTGCGCGCGCACATGCACGCTAGTCATCACTTACAAGGCCGGTGCAAACTCGCACTGACTTGACGATCTGCCGATGGTGTTTCACTGTTTTGCCCCATTCTCATTTCCGTTTGCTATTTACAATAAAAATAGAAATATTCTAACTTTATTTCCCCCTCCCCCCACCGCCGCCTTCAGCATACTGCAGGATTGTAATAGTGGCGTAACCATGATGATTCTGCATTTTGTCTTTCATAACTCCCGCTAGAGTTCGAAGGTGAGGCCTTCAGAAAACTCATGGAATAGTGTTACTTCCCGCCCGTGGATTATGCATGCATATTTTTGCTTTTCCAGCCGCCATACTTGAGTTATTTACAATGTTTTCCCAGCCGCAGTTTGGTATTTTTGCGGATCAGAAGTAAACAATTTGTATTGTGTTGCAAAATAAGTGCAACGTTCCGTCCTGTTTTACGTTCCGTCCTGTTTTACGTTCCGTCCTGTTTTACGTTCCGTCCTGTTTTACGTTCCGTCCTGTTTTACGTTCCGTCCTGTTTTACGTTCCGTCCTGTTTTACGTTCCGTCCTGTTTTACGTCATTTTAAAGTAGCAATGACAGGCTAGTGTACACACTCTATTCGTTGCCTAAAGCTACCCTCTCCTTTGCACCAGATCGATCGTAACTTCCTGTGCTAAACTCCTGTTGCCCCGGTGATATCACCTGTGACATATTGTGCAGCATATTATGCTCACGGTCAAGAATCTCGTTTGTGCTGGATACCGAATGTACAGTCGTGGCCAAAGAAATCCAGCCCACGTGCCGAAAGCAGTGCAAAGGCTCATATCATGCGGCCGCTGCGGCCCTCGGATCATTTGTGCGAATATGCCTGATGTGATCACAGTGTAAACAGTACGCAGCGCTAGTTTTGACTCGCGGGTCGAATTTCTTTGGCCACGACTGTACATAGCCTATGTTCCCAATCAAGTATCTTGTCACAAGTTGGGTGCGCTGGCGGATATGGAAAACAGTTTTTTTTGTCGTCCCTGAAACGAACATGATTCGTTTGGGGGGAGGGGGGGGGGAGGGGTTGTTGGGGAACTGCACCCACACTACAAACCCACGGACACCACAACTCGCACAAGGAGTTCTAAAATAGACTATATTAAATATTTTTACATGGTTTTGAGAGTGAAAGCAAAGCTAAGCGCAAGACACAACTCCTTGCAAAAAACCAAGAAGATGCTACGATCGGGGACAAACATTACACTCCCCCGGGAAAAAAATTCAAAAATTGAAGCCAATTGCAAGCATTCCCAGGCATTTGGTGCCATTTCAGTGTACATGGACTTTTGATCCTGCAACAAACCACGATCGGGGACAAGGATTTGCCGCGTTTGCGCTGAGATCATCGCGCCTTGTTGCAGTGTGCTAAAAAAAAAAAAAAAAAAAAAAAAAGGCCGAAAAAGTGGGGCGGCCATGGCCACCCCGGCCGGTGCGGTTCCGACGCCCTTGTCTAAGATGTCAGTTGTGGCCAACGCCTATGTGTAATGTGCATGCCTGGGACTCTGTAGAGCATGCTGACCCACTAAAATAATTTGGGACCCTAAACTATACCTTTACCGTTTTGAGAGTGAAAGCAAAGCTAAGCGCAAGACACAACTCCTTGCAAACTTCGTCAAGACACAACAAGTACATTTGTTCCATTCAGACAGTACTCGAGTATGGGAGTAACTCATTTGCTCATTGCTTGTCAGTAACTCTTCATGACCGTCTAGTCCGTCTTAGTAATAGAGCTCTACGCATTGTGTTCAGTATGCCTCGCTTTTCTGACGTATCCCTTGTTAATGCACGCCATCACATTCTCCCTTTGTCTGTGCGCTATCAGTTCAAACTCTATATCTTAGTGTTTCGTGTCCTGAATCAGTTAACTACTACTCTCCTTACTGATTGCTTTTGCCTTCGTTCTACTTCTACTCGTACCAATTCCTGCACTCGCTCCCAGGTATCTTCGTCTGTCACTCTACCAAAAGCTAAAACTCGTTTCGGTCTCTTTTCAGTTTCTTTCATCGGTTCCGACCGTTGGAATGCACTCCCCGCTGCAGTCCGCTTATGCTCTTCACTGCACCTATTCCGTAATTCAGTACTTTCATTTCTAGGGTACCCTGTAAGAAGGCCTTAGGCCTGTGGGGATTGCCCTATCAAAAATTTGATAATAATAATAAATAATAAGAACACAAGAGCAAATCTGCATGCGTGCAGAACGGCCTGGGTCCCGGAAGCATGTCGGGACACAGGAACACAAAGTGCATGCATGAGTGCATACACGGAACAGCATACACGTGCGCACGCACGTGACAATAGGGAGGTTTAGTTCCCACGTAACGGAAACGCGTACGTGGGTGATCCACGTAAAGTGGATGAAGGGCACCCACGTACGTTGCAATGTTGTGTTTAGTCACACGGAACAAACAAAAGCATGAAGCTTAAGGCCAAAACCTGGTCAAAGACGAAGCTACCCCGGCCTAAGAAGCTCTTCCAATATTTTGATTTCGTGCTTCGGAAACTTCTTCAGCTGAGCACCCTCACAGCTCGCACAATGCGCTCCATTCTGATTTTCACCCACGTTCTGGCGGAACGTGGGTGAGCCTCCATACACGGTATGTCGTGAATCAGAAAACGTCTGTACGTGGGTCACTGAGTATCACGTGGTACACACACGTAAAGTACCCACGGATAACGTGGGACTAAACCTCCCTAGTGATTACTAGGCAGCGCACATAAGGAATGCTTGCAGTACAAGGGTACAACGGGATGCTCCATTTCACCCCTCCCCCTGGTGGCCACATGATGGACACCACAGCAATGAAGAGCACTAAAGAAAGAAAAAGAAATAGAAGGGAAAAGCAAAACACAAAAAAACCCTGCTCAGAACGAGCTGCAACAAAAGCAAACTCAGGCAGAACCAGTGTCTCGAAAACGCACAGGAGGCTGTAAGGCAGATCGGTCACGCAGCGCTCACTGAACAACCGGGACAGCATTCAGAGCAGCAGCATCAGGAATGAGCAAATCATCCCCCGGAGGAGCAGCATGATAGACGGGCTTGAGCAAGTCAATGTTGACGACTTTTTCACCCTGACCATTAGTACGGGCAATGGCAACAGTGGATGGGGAAACTTGGTGCTTCACATGCCAGCCAGATTCGAATGGCGACAGACACTTCTGGTGACGCGCAGGACGACGAAAGAGGACATTCTCCCCGACAGCGTACGGGCACTGCCAATTGGATTCCTGGAAATCGACAGCGGACAAGGCAGCATCGAGGTGATCACGGATACGAGCACTACGCTGCGCGAGGCCATGCACCCATGTACTTAGAGAGACCGGATTAGTCACACTCTCAACAATCAGATCTCGTGGCGTCCAGCCACACATGGCATGCATCGGTGAAATTTTTGTAACGGCATGGGGTCGAATCCGGTAGTGATAAAGGAGCAAATCCAACTCGGCCCTCCAGTCGGCGGCGTCGGTAAGCACTTTCCGGATCAACGTGAGCAGGGTGCGGTTAAACCGCTCAGCAGATCCCTGCGACTGAGGGTGACGGATTGCTCCACGCTGCACGGAGACGCCAAACCTCGAAAACAGCGCATCAGTGATGGCATTCACAAACTCTGTGCCATTGTCGGAGCGAAGCAACCGGGGCGGACCCCACCGAGCACAAACAGAGACGAACGCATGAGCAACACTGGCAGCATCATGATGCCGAAGGGGAACCACCTCCACCCACTTGGTGAAGGTGTCAACACACACTAAGACGCAATGAAACGAGTTGCCGCCACCAAGCTCCAGTGTGTCGACCTGGACAACATCCCAGGGACCATCAGCGATAACTGCACGAGTAGGAGGAGCACAGGGACCTTGGGCAGCATTGGCAGCTGCACATTGGGGACACTGCTGCACAAACCGCTGACAAGCCTCAGCCATACACGGGAAGTAACAGGTAGACCGGAGAAACTGGTAAGTAGTCTCCCAACTGCTGTGACCAGTGGACTCATGAGCAGAGCTGACGACCTGATCACACAAGGAAACAGGTACCACCGGCACAGACTTGACATCGTTGGGCGGGAGCTTGACAGTACGGAACAAGATGCCGTCACAAGTCGTGAGCTGCGACTTCACCCTGGCGAATTCCGTAGCGGACACATCTCCACCAGCAGACAGTTCAGCAATAGTCGCATGGATCACCGAATCTAGCTGTTGTTGTGCCGCGATTTCTGGCAAGGGCACACAGCGAGGTACTGCAGGAGCGGCAGCACTTACGGACGGAGTCTTGGACTTCTGTACTGTCTTCCAGCACTGCACAAATGGGCTGGGAACACGGGTAAGACGGTCAGCGAGATTCTTTGCTGACGGCACCCATTGGACAGACACGCTCATACCTGTGGCCTCCACCATGTCGTCTAGGATCTGCAGGCGGCGCTGAACCACGACCTCCTGCAATCCACCAACTTTGACGCGATGTGATGCCTCCAGCTTGCCAGAGAGCCCACCGTAGACAGTCTTGGAATCAGTGTACAGCGTTACACGTGACAAGTTCCACTTGGCTGCAAGAGAGAGACCGTTCACTGCAGCGTCCAGTTCTGCCACATTGATATGTCGGCGGTCGTCCTCCTTCCGGAGCCAAGCCTGGTCCTCCACCACATGACCGTTTGCAGTCAGCACGCAGCCGTAAGCAATGTCGGATGCGTCACACCAGACAGACCAATCATTTCCAGCAGGGGCAGACCACACACCGTGTACAGGGTCTTCCTGCAGGGCACGCTTGCGAGCGTCCTCGCAGAGACGTTGCAAGTCATCAGGCAACGGTTGATCCCAGGGTGCAGCGGTAGCACATGCCAAGCGCTTCATCCACGAACACAGTGGACGCAGCCATGATGCTACGGGGTAGTGACTGGTTGCCTTCCCACACCACTTGAACACATCACGCTTGGTCATCAATGGTGATTCGCTCAGATCGACATCTTGTCGTCTCCTCCAGGACAGCTTGCCACTATCGTCCGCAGAGAGTTGAAGACCGAGAATTGTGGCAACTGGGAACGGCACGGCAGGTTTTGTAGGCAGGCCATAGGAAGCGAGACAATCAGCTACCGCATCCGCTTGGTCACAAGGAACGACAATGTCGTCGATGAAGTTGTCAGCCGAACCAAAGTCTCGGAGTGAATACTTCACGATAGCATCCATGAGTTTGGGCGCTACTGAAAGCCCAAAGCCCATGCGCTCCATCACGTACGTCTTCCCCTGCCAAAGGACGGTCTGGTATGGCAGCAAACTGGGATGGACACGGATGTTGAGATACGCTTTCCGAATGTCGAGAACAGTGGACTCACTGGGACGTTGACGCCACTCACGGATTTTCTCGGGACAGACCGGCACATCATTGCCGGGGTTTGACACAATGAGCTGGTTGAGAGCACGGTAGTCAAGGCAAGGCCTTACGGGAGTCGACAGTTTGTGCTCCTGACAATTAGCAAGCAGTGGCAAGACTGCAATGGGTGAACCATGCACCTCAGCATCGTGTGGTACTAGCCATCCTTGGTCAATCCACATCTGCACCTCAGCTCGAAACAGCTGCTCTTGTTCTTCAGAGAGCTTCTTGCGTGAGTATTCACCGAGACCACTACCGACTCGGTCTTTGGGGGGACTACCAGCGGACCACCTCCATGTGATCTCCCAGTAGCCGTCTGCTGGATTGAAGGTAGCGGTGCCATCACTCATATCAAGGCGCACCACACCATTCTCCTCAGATATTGTCACATGACGAGACAAATTCTTACTACTGCTGCTGTCTGGTGGCGGCACGCTAGGTGTCTCAGGCAGACTCCCGAACCGAGCCCTGCACAGCTGGCCGGTCAATTCATCATACTGCAAGACGACACCACCATCGCCCGAGATGATGTCCACACCAAGAAGAACATTCTGCGTCGACTGACGCTAGATCGTCCACCACGAGAAATGCCGATTCCGTGTCCGGTAGCTGGACGGCAGCGCTGTGGCGGCCAAGCCGCATGGATACGGAGCCGAGAACCGGTACCGGATCGCCAATGACACTCACTATGGAGCTGGAACACGATGACACGTCCAGGTTGAGGGCTGACACTACGTGGGCAGCGACAAACGACTGGGTTGAGCAGCTGTCGATAGCAGCACCGTACTCATGTGTCGTCTCACCAGACACCACATCAACAATGATGCGCGGCAGAGGCGAAACTGCGCGGGGTACCGGTGAAACAGTAGCGGCCAGACAACCAGTCGATGCTGGCTTGTAAGAGCCCTTTTTCACAGCGGAGGCAGACACATTCTGCGGGAAATTCGGTTGGATGTGGCCAAACTCGTGGCACTTAAAGGGAAACTGAACGCCAAAAATAAGTATGGCTTATCCGAAGGGGAATTGGGCACTGATTCCGATGAGCTATGTCTCGAGCCGATCAGAGAAGAGGAACCGTGTCAAATTTCATAAATAACACCTTCCATATTTGGAAATTGGGCTTGATGACGTGCGTACTGCTTAGCTGTCACCATGCTGTGCATGCTCAGCAGTGTAATTGAATGGAAGAAAACAATTACTTTGGTGTTTTGCAGCTCTATTTCGTTCCCTGACGGTAACCAAATCTAGATGTAGGTATCTGTTGAGCAGAAGAGTGACACATGTCTTCCCGAAGGCTGTCCAGGCTGCAGTGGTGATGAAGAAGACACGATCATCACCTCGAGATCGATTGTAGCGAATTGGAAAACTCATGGTGAATTTGCTTCCACTCCAAGGCAATGTCGAGGTATGAAGGATGCTTGTACTGCCTTCCAAAGTGAAGAGGAGATGAACATGGCTGTGCATAGCTGTTGTTCTACGCCAACTTACCTACTCTTGCTGATACCGTAGTGGCATATTGCAAATTTCGTGGACGAACAACTCTCTAGTCACTAGTGGCTAATGAGCAACACTAACAGGTGAGATTTTTCAATTTGACAAAAATTGTTTTTGTTTGAGAACTGATAGTGGCAGTCATTTGACTCAGTAGGTGTCTTTGCTGCTTCTTTCCCTTCATTCGTAGGGTTGTGCTTGAATAGTACAAGTGCTTGAAGTAAAATAAAATAAATAGAACATGTGAAACATAAATCTAATCAAGCATGAGTACATGTATTGCGAATTTCAACTTCAAAGCACATGAAATCACAATGATCACAAAGTTTATGGAATCAAGAGGACACCATGTGTTCAACGAACTCATACACACATGCTGTATCAGTGCGCGCACACATGTACACATGTGCGTGCACCCCCACCCCATCCCACAGACATGCGCGTGCAGCGCGCACATCCATACACATGTGCATGTACCCCCCCCCCCCTCCCCCGACACACACACTCCTACCCATACACATGTGCGTAGGACCCACGCACACGCACACACGCACGTGTGCACAGACGAATACACAAACACACACGCCCGAACACACACAAGATACGTGTAAGTGTACATGGTCTTCCTGGTGCAGATGCGAGGCCAGCACAATGGAAAATACCTCCATCAAGATGCTTGATCAAGTGTTGTGATAATGGCACTGTTTGTTTGTTTTTACAAAGAAGTGTGGGAAGGATTACTATGCGTTATAATTCATAATTGTTCTTTGCCGGCTTGTACTGTGCAGACCAGAATGCTTCGCTATCAACTCCTGGCTTTCCATCGGCATGGTGTTCAGCTGCAGCGGTATCTGGTCCGGGGAGTTGAAGTTGCTGGATGGCTGCACTGACACAGGATGGGTTTGCGTTGGCAATGCGATACGGCAGTCATTCCACATCATGAGCTACATGTTTATGTAATTTATATTGTCGCTCGTCCAGCAACGTCAAGGCTCTGCATGTAAACACAGGAGAACACCATAATAAAAAATACTACTCATACTCAGGGGATAATATATTTGGATTAGCAATTTCGTGCCATTTATGGGTTCCTGTCTAAACCATGCTGTGATATTGATTTCTATCTGCTCACAAAGTACCTTGTATTGTAACAATGCTCTGCCTAATCACTACCCTCCGCCAATTATTAGATTCACACAATATTCACAACACAATGCTGTCTATTTACACTACTTCGAACTGAAATGCTCACTACTCTTCTCCCGTTTTCAGCTCTCTCTACCTTATGAATACTCTACATTGCTGGTTTCGTTTCTACCCTTTCCATTGCTGCCAGCTCCCAGTCTTTTTCAATGCACAGCACCACCTTGAATTTTTTGTGATTTGATGTACACATACTTTGAAGTTGAAATTCGAACTACATGATCAGATTTTTGTTCCACATTTTCTATTTATTTTTACTTCAAGCACAACCCTACCGATGAAGGGAAAGAAGCAGCAGAGAGACACCTACTGAGTCTAATGACTACCACTGTCAGTTCTCAAACAAAAACATTTTTTGTCAAATTGAAAAATCTCACCTGTTAGTGTTGCTCACTAGCCACTAGTGACTAGAGTTGTTCGTCCACGAAATTCGCAATATAGCACTACGTCTACGGTACCAGCAAGAGTAGGTAAGTAAGTTGGCATAGAACAACAGCTATGCACAGCCATGTTCATCTCCTCTTCACTTTGGAAGGCAGTACAAGCACCCTTCATACCTCGACATTGCCTTGGAGTGGAAGCAAATTCACCATGAGTTTTCCAATTCGCTAAAATCGATCTCGGGGTGATGATCGTGTCTTCTTCATCACCACTGCAGCCTGGACAGCCTTCGGGAAGACATGTGTCACTCTCCTGCTCAACAGATACCTACATCTAGATTTGGTTACAGTCAGGGAACGAAATAGAGCTGCAAAACACCAAAGTAATTGTTTTCTTCCATTCAATTACACTGCTGAGCATGCACAGCATGGTGACAGCTAAGCAGTACGCACGTCATCAAGCCCAATTTCCAAATATGGAAGGTGTTATTTATGAAATTTGACACGGTTCCTCTTCTCTGATCGGCTCGAGACATAGCTCATCGGAATCAGTGCCCAATTCCCCTTCGGATAAGCCATACTTATTTTTGGCGTTCAGTTTCCCTTTAAAATACTTCGGGCCTTTCCGACCACTACCACCAGACTGACCACCATTGCCACTGCCACTAGCGCCAGAACTTCCATTGCCACCCTTGTGTGGCGATGGCCGTTGACGTTGGGGCCACTTGTTGGGGACAATCCGGTTTCCTGTGACCTGGCTTCTTACAGTGATAGCACGTCACTGTGGAACGACTTCCCGATGCGCTGGCCACAACGCTGCCAGCAGGTCTCGGCAAACTCTGAGAGGCACGCAGGGTCCGCACCTGGCTGACACACTGGGCCAGGGTCAGGTCGTTGATCGCCAGCTGCATTCTCAGCTGGAGAGCAAAATCTTGGGGCAAACCAGCAAGGAACTGCTACCCTACGCTCGTACAACAGCAAATCAAACTAGGCTGGGTTTCGGTACCACTTGTTGGGGAACTGCACCCACACTACAAACCCACGGACACCACAACTCGCACAAGGAGTTCTAAAATAGACTTTATCACTCTCTTATTATTGACCCCCACAGAAACTTGTGATCTCTAAGCGGTCAAATATGTATGTATTACTGCACAAGGACCAGTGCAATACCGGCCGATATCTGCACGAACGGCGAAGCCGTAAGTGCAGATATCGACGCCGGTATTGCACGCGTCCGAGTGCAGTAATACATTTATCGCACCCCTGCCACCACACAGTCTGTCACCACACACTTGTGTGTGTGACTTGACACGGTCTGGTGCAACCCTAGCATACTGCATGCAACCCTGCTATCATTAATTTTCACAGTCATACAACACAGCACAACCAGTCGCGTTCATTTTTAGAGGAACACTTCTTTCGAGCAGCTGCTCACGGGAGATCATGGAAGTAGCGGGACAGCTTGCTCATGTCGTCGTCGTTGATGGGGTGTTTGTGCTCCACCGCTTTGACTTCTCCCCGCTTTCTTTGGCTTCAGGAGGAAAGCCTTCAATGCAATGTTTGCGTCCTTGAACGCTGGGTCACTGTGGACGTTCATGAGCCGCTTCAACTCGACTAGCTTGCGATGTATTGCGGAACGGAAACCGAGCAAGCTTGATGCAGAGTAGAACTTCACTCCAGCTTTCTTCGGACGGAATTCGACGTATGCATGTCGCAGAATGTAAGCTAGGTCGCTTGCCGTAACCGTACTCAGGTCACAGCGACGTCCTGTGTCTTTACAGTACTCGTCGAATAAGAGGAGCCATTTGTCAGTTGCCTGCTCTGTGTTTTAGTTTTTCTGCTCAGAAACGAGGCTGTCGATGGCGGCGTCGGACAGTTTCTCAAATCGGCTGTCGACAGTCTTCTCCAATACTTGGGCGTCTGCTGTCTCGACTCTCACGGAGCTTGTGAAGTTGACTTGGCGGACGCAAGCCGGGTCCACATTCGCTTCCGCGACAGCGTCCTCGACCAAAAAAAAAAAAACCAATTATTATTTGGTGTGCTGCAGCAAGTCAGCAGCGACTGCTTGGCGGAGCGACTCGCCCCAGTACACCGCCAGCCAATGACCAGATGACAATGTGGATGCACTGCAGTGCGATATTGCACCCGGCGAGTGAGCGTGCAAATAACCTATATTTGCACGCTCGCTTCGAAGTGAGCGTGCAAATAACCTATATTTGCACGCTCACTTCGAAGTGAGCGTGCAAATATAGGTTATTTGCACGCTCACTCGCCGGGTGCAATATCGCACTGCAGTGCATCCACATTGCTGGCGGTGTACTGGGGAATATTGCACGCTCAGTAAGGCCGCTGATTGGCTCAAACCATGGAGACACTCACGTGGGGTGCGATAACAGCATATATTGACCGCTTATATTGACCACTTATTATTGACCACTTAGCCCGAGGACTTAGAACTTTTTCCTCAACTTAGAAAAAAATCAGAACTGAAAGAAGAAAAATCTGAAGCCAAATGCTGGGATTTGAACCCAAACTGTCAGATTCTCAGTCAAAGAACTTGGGGAACATACTACAAGAGACAACTGAAAACTTCGGTTTACACAGAAGTAATGTCCAATGTAAACGGCATATGTACATACTATTATACTATTACAATAGTATTCCTTTCTTCCTATTGCAAAGCAAAAACAGTTTTAGGTATGCTATGTCGTGATAAATCTATTATTGCCCTCATAATCGGTCAATATATGAAATATAGACCTCGTAAAAGACCTCGGGGGACCTTGGTCTTTTACTCGTTCTATATTTCATATATTGACCTCTTTAATCGTGCAATAATAGATACATATTAAATATTTACATGGTTTTGAGGGTAAAGGTATAGTTTAGGGTCCCAAATTATTTTAGTGGGTCAGCATGCTCTACAGAGTCCCAGGCATGCACATTACACATAGGCCTTGGCCACAACTGACATCGAATACGATGTGGATGGACAACCACTGGTGTATGCAAAATCACCTTACGATGCGAACGAAGACGGCGCAAAGGACCATGAAAATTGCCTGAGTTTGAAGCTCGGTGATGCCGTGCGTGTCTTGAACACCTCCATGGGCAAGGGAAGGTGGTGGGTAGAAGTCAAAATATTCGTCGTTCTGCCAGGAGGCTTCCTCCGCACCGCGCAGGTCATCCTCAGTGCCAAGGAATGATGATGGAACGTATCCAGACTCGCCATCGACTTCTACCCACCACCATCCCTTGCCCATGGAGGTGTTCAAGACACACACGGCATCACCGAGCTTCAAACTCAGGCGATTTTCACGGTCCTTTGCGCCGTCTTCGTTCGCATCGTAAGGTGATTTTGCATACACCAGTGGTTGTCCATCCACATCGTATTCCAGGCGCGTCGGAACGACTTTGGAAGTGGGGCGGCCATGGAAGGGGGTGGGGGGGGTCCTCCCCCGGGAAAAAATTTCAAAAATTAAAGCCAATTGCAAGCATTTCCGGGCAATTGGTGCCATTTCAGTGTACGGTAACTACAATGAAAGACTTTTTGATTCTGCAAAAAACCAAGAAGATGCTACAATCGGGGACAAACATTACACTCCCCCGGAAAAAAATTCAAAAATTGAAGCCAATTGCAAGCATTCCCAGGCATTTGGTGCCATTTCAGTGTACATGGACTTTTGATCTGCAACAAACCACGATCGGGGACAAGAATTTGCCACGTTTGCGCTGAGATCATCGCGCCTTGTTGCAGTGTGCTAAAAAAATAAAAAAATAAAAACGGCGAAAAAGTGGGGCGGCCATGGCCGCCCCGGCCGGTGCGGTTCCGATGCCCTTGTAGATGTCAGTTGTGGCCAACGCCTATGTGTAATGTGCATGCCTGGGACTCTGTAGAGCATGCTGACCCCGGCACTAAAATAATTTGGGACCCTAAACTATACCTTTACCGTTTTGAGAGTGAAAGCAAAGCTAAGCGCAAGACACAACTCCTTGCAAACTTCGTCAAGACACAACAAGAACACAAGAGCAAATCTGCATGCGTGCAGAACGGCCTGGGTCCCGGAAGCATGTCGGGACACAGGAACACAAAGTGCATGCATGAGTGCATACACGGAACAGCATATACGTGCGCACGCACGTGACAATGATTACTACAGTCCATTCAGAAAAAAATGAACTTCTAGCTTTTGGCCATAAATGGGTCAAACGTTGAGTTTTTTTAGAATTTTTTTCTGCAATCCCATATGGAATCCTCTTCCAATTATGTTTCTGAAGTTTTTTTGTCCAAAAAGCAAGCCATAGCAAGAATAGGATTTCGGGCAGGTTTTGCCCCAAAAGCACTGAATTGGAAAAAACCATCAAAATCCAGGCCGTTTGACCCCGCCTGCAACAGTGCATTCTGCGGTTCGAACCCCAGTTCAGGCACCCTTTTGGACCCTTTTTCAAATTTCAAAGTTCGCAGCACTGCACTGTGTACGATGAAATCACGAAAAATCGCCAAATACGGGAGCTCGCCAGAGCCAGGACCCATTTTTTCTGAATGGACTGTAGGCAGCGCACATAAGGAATGCTTGCAGCACGAGGGTACAACGGGATACTCCATTTCAGGGTGCGAGCCAAAATCGCAAGTCGACCGACACTGTACCTATGACATGTACATGCATGCGATTTTCGCCGTCCAGCATAGCAAGCTGTGTTCGTTTCAGAGGGAGGGGAGGGAGTCCGTTTCAAAAAGATTTGCAATCCTGGCGATCGCCCGCGGAGTTTGGCGTCTTAGCGTATGAGCACTCGATCGCTGCCTGGAAAAACTCGCTGTGAACTCGAAGAAATATTCCGCGCGAAAGTAGGAAAAATGACAACTCACTCACGTTGACACAGTCATGTACGTCTGGTTTACAACAAACGAGTTCTTTCTCGTATCGATAATGGAGAGCGGAAGCTGTCGCCGGCAATTTATTTGAATTTAGCAAACAACGCCGTCTTCTATCAGCGTTAACAAGCGTCTGCTTTCCTCAAAATGTCGTCGAAGTCACACGGATAGCTTTGCCAAGTCATGGCCTTGGGAATGAGTCCGTGTCGATGTCGTTTTCGTCACACGGTGAGTAAATTGCATCGCAGCTCAAAGAAACTATTTTGGTCACACACGAATTGGGACCCACGCCGAGTGCGCAGCTTGCAGAAGACTCCTGTGCTGGGTTGGTTGGAAATTGAAACTGGAGATCTGGGGTAAATTTTGCTGGCTTATAACAATATAATGTTCTCATACTTTCTGCCTTTCTTGTCATTCTTGCTTCTTGAATTTGTTTGTTTTCCTCGAGTTTTCTTGTGTTCGCGGAGAAGGCGGAGAGCCGGAGCGCAGAACCGTTTTGTTTAAAATGATTTAACGGAGAAGGCGGAGATACCGAACGTGCCGTAATGCGGTCAAGCACAATATTTGTTTGGGTAGCTCAGGGGGAACGCCAAATATATGGGTACATGTGACTGTTTTTTCTTCCTTTTTTCTTTTTTTGGTGTTTATTGGAAGTCGGATACATGTAGCTCAACATGAAACAGTACAGAAGTACAACTACAAAGAGCACCGAATAGAAGGCCCCGGGAACGGGAAACCAAAAAGAAAAAAGATAAAAAGAAGAAAAAAAACAGCAACATCAATTTACTGATTATGATTCTCCATGGCAGCATGAATCCCAGCACCATTGCTGTTTTGTGGCACGGGTGGTCGAGGCAAGGCTTCTGCTTTTCTCAAGCGCATTGCATCTTTGCTTCCCAAAACCGTTCTCCGTGGCGAGGGCTCATCTCCTGTTACATGGTATTCTTGTCGCAGTATTAGTTAGTTAGTTTTTTGTTAGGTTGTAATATTATGATAACTGTCCACCAAAGTAACCAGATCTTTATACAGTCAGCGAGTGCGACAAAATGGCACAAAACGGACAAGGCCGGGAGTACTGAGACATTCAGCGACCTGACACCCACATGTAGGTCCAACACTTCTCCAAGGCGCAAACCAACAACCTTCCAATTTGGAAAGCTCAGGTTCGGAAAGTTCCCCTGTGTAGGCTTTCCCCAAACCGGCCCGTGTTTTCTGCTTGTTCGGCTTTTCGCTCGGGTCAAAAATACATCAGATTTGACTGCAAAATCAGTTGATTGTTTGACGATCGGCTGCAAAACTGGAATATATTGGAAAATCGGCTAAAAGAACTGTTGGCATGTTGGCCTCAAAATTTGTGAAATAATTATTAGAAGATTTGGTCGATTTTCGACGATTGTCAAAGGAACCCTCCAAAATCGGCGAAAAGCGTAGCGATTTTCGATCAGTCTCATTTTCGGCGAATTTTTCGCAGCCTGATTAATTAAGGGATTTTACTACAGTCCATTCATCGGAAACAGTCCCGCTGGCTTTTGAAAGTCCAATTTGGGCCGAATTGAGGATCAAAAACCCACTTTTAATCTCCAAAACCTGGGTTTGGGATCTGCTTCTCCACACATTTTGCCATGGTATACCTGTCCTAATTTTGTAAAACCTGGCTCAACCAAGACCCTATCAGTATCAGCAAGAGTACATAAACAAGAGTGTGCAACTGCCTGCACAACCTCTATGCTGTGCTGCGACGGCAGAACTTCACATCACGTGACATGGTTCAAAAGGTTATGCTGGCAAACAGTGCAAAGTGACCACAAGAGAGTTGTACCCAAAGCTGGGCTGCGTACAACCCAGTATCTATCATGCACTAGAGTGCACGGGTTCATCACGTGATGTGAAGTTCTGCCGTCGCAGACCCCATAGCTGGAGTTGCACACTCTTGTTTATGTACTCTTGGTATCAGCAAGAGTCCATAACCCCCCCAGAGTGTGCAACTCCAGGCTGGGGTCTGGCGCAACGAAATCCAAACATTGCGTCATCCGGTCCATAGTCAAGCATGGGCGGATGGGGCCATGTGCATATCTGGTACATCCGCTACTCACTACATGACGTATGAAGTTTGGATTTCGTTGCGGCACTGATTTGTGCTGAGAAGGATCACGAGTTGCACACTCTGGGGGGTTATGGACTCTTGGTATCAGGGACTATGCAGGGCTGGAACAGGCGTTGCACACTCTGGGGGGCTATGTACTTTTGCTAAGCTTTGTTACAAACAGCAATCTGTGTCGTATTTAGCGCGTGCGACACCTTCGAGTACAAATTTGTTGACCCCGCCAATCAAAGTGAATGGCATGTAGGCTGGTATGCGCCTGATACGCGCTGCAAATTCCAACATGCTGGAATTTCCATTTGGGCGCGTTTCCGTATGCATGGCGCACCAAAAGCCAGCAAAAAATACGCACAAACGCGTGGTTTCACGCGTACACGCACCAGTTGTGACCAGAGCTTAAGTCCGAAGATTGAGAACTTTTCCTCAACTTAGAAACAAGAGTTAGACATGAAAAAAGAAAAAAACTGGAGCCAAATGACTTGAGCCCAAACTGCCAGATTCTCAGTCAAAGAACTTGGGGAACACATTAAAAGACTAAGTAACAACTGAGAACATCTGTATATAGAGAAGTAATGTAGACGACTTATGTATATACTATTTGCTAGTACAATACACAACAACAAAGCTAAACCAGTTAAGGTATGCTATGTCGGAATCAATCTATTATTGCCCTCATCATCTTGCAAATAATAGATGCATAATTACTAATTAAAATACGACATAATTACTCAGCCGTAGCGGGTTATGGGATATCAGTCTGCCTCAGATTTTCACTGATCTGAAATTGCAGATTTGAAATTTACAATGGGAGGAAATTATCAGGACTGGAAACACACTTGGTTAGCCAGGCTCTTCACGTCCTGGAAACGTTCCGTTGGAGTAACACCGACTGCATGTGCCTGTCGAGTTTCCTGGACCGAATTGTGGATGCTATGGAAGATGGGTGGGTAAGTGGAAGGGCACCAGGTTAGTCCTGTCGGTAGTATTCCCCCCGGTTTATGCGTAACTAGTTACAATTACTGACACTTCATGCACTGCACTGTTCATCACCGTCACTCCATTAGACGACTTCAGTTGGAGTAGTTGTGGCTGGGTCGCCCGTTGGTTTGGTTATTGAGTAACTGGTCGTGGGTGTAGCAGCCTGGGTAGTGTTAGCGGACTCGTTGCTCTCTGTTGCGGAGAAATAGAGATGACACACACAAGCGTCTCAGCAAAGCAGTCAACAGCATACCATCCCCTCTTCGCAAAATCTGATTTCAAAAATTACTATGGAAACCCACCAACATTTTGACTTTAGATCTTCACTTTTTTTGTTCCATATTTCTCTCCTGAACTCATAGTGCTCAGGGTGATATTTGAAAGGGGAACACTTAGGGCCCAGTCCCACGTAAACTGGGGTTCGCTTCAGCATGGAGGTTCTGCAACAGCGAGCCTGGTGTCGCTCCAGCGAAACCACGTGTGTATGGTCACGCATACAAACAGGGCAAACTCCTACTTCGGCGGTAAATGAGAGTAAAGTGGGCTGTGGTGCATACGGTACGGACAATAGACGAGATCAATGACCATCTTGCACGCATTTTGTTGCATGGGCATCATACGCATACAAATTTCATGTAGTAAGTTCTTATACAGCAGACCGTGGTGCTTTCCGCTGAAGCGAAACCGCAGAAGCGACAGTCTTGGTTCGAAAATTTTGAAGGAAGCGGATTGGAGTTTCCACTGAGGCGGAAGTTCTGCTTTTCGCCGTTGCCATGGTATTGTTCGCTCCTGGGACGTCGCTTCAGCGGATCCACTACTTCCGAGTGCATGTGTGACCGGGCCCTAACAAGTTACGATACAGATGGCACCGAAAATTAGGAATTTCCTCAACTCTGAGGTGACCGGTGCTCCTGCCTATGCAGTCAGCTCAAAACCCGGAAGGTTGTCCCGAGCTCGGTCCGCTTGCCATCAAGAGTAGATAAACAAGTGTGTTCAACTCGCGGATGGGTAGGCCCTAGGCAGATTTTTTTATTGACGTAATCTTTTCGACGACGCTCGCGCTGCGAGTCTTTCGGAAGGTTTTCCTCGTGCTCTTGGCCGGACTTACACTACAAGCCCACTGCCCAGCACGTGCCCCAGACTAGGCATAGCCCGATTTTGCTAGCAATTATGCTAGCAAAATATCGAAGAATTCTGAAAGGGAATTTGCTAGCAAAACGGAGCAAAATATCGGTGTGTTCGCTGGAAATTTGAAGATTTTACACTTACACGGTGCACGTGACTCAATTTCGCACAGTTTTAGCAAAACGTGACTCACTTTTTCTCATTTTTGCCAACACTTGACCCACTTTCGGTCACTTTTCCCACATGTGACACAATTTTTTTTGGGGGGCAAAAAGGGAGCAAATTATCGAGTGGCCTGGCAAAATGAAAGCAAAATATTAACGATGAGAAAGCAAAATGTTGCGGCAAAATATCGAAGCTTCACTGGCAAAATCGGGCTTTGCCTACTCTGCACTGCTCTGCGGCAAAATGCGCGTTTCTCTGAAAAAAGGTGACGCCCACAAAAATTCTGCAGTGGGCGGGGGTATTTGCAGATTGTGCAGGAGAGATCCGGAGTTGCGCACTCTTGTTTATCTACTCTTGCTAGTAACTAGTAGCTACCACCATTTCTCTGGTCATTAAAGGTATGTCTTTGCCACCGTATCATTATTACTTAAAAACTCTTTTCAGGAGCTGTACTGTGGCTTTTTAAACTCTCGTGAAATTGCAAAATCTGGGTTTGCGTTAGGGCTGAAAATCCCTGAATATTCGAACCTCTGTTCTTCTGCCTTCCCAGCTCGACCATCCGCGATGTGAAGAAAATTCAAACTGGAAAACGTGATCCAATCCGCACACAACTTCCGGTCCTTCTGCGCTCGCACTGCACATGAACCATCCTGACAAACAGTCCTACAGCGCAATACCACAGGACGTGCTACGAAGTTGTTTTGCGAATTCCGTGTGTCCACACGTAACCATATCCATAGCTCAGTGGTTAGTATACCTGGCAACCATATCGCTTTTGGCCGGGCCTGTTCCAATTGCGAGGACAGTAATAGCGCCAAAGAGCGAACCACAGATACGACCATTTTTTTTACAAATTGCGTGTGAGACGAGCACGTCTGTGAACAGCATGCCCAAGAAAGGTTGCGTTCCCTGTAGGTCATGGTTGCATGGCTCGTGCAAAGTAGAGGTCAGAATAGCTTGAGCCTCAGGAATTTGAGGACTTTGAATGACCATTCTACGTTGAGTACGTGAGCCGATGAAAATTTTGGTTGGAGGATACAGAATTTTGCTCACACGCAGTAAGGCAGCTCTCAAAAAGGCGTGACGGCTATTTTTTGCTTGTACATTGCATGTAGCAGCAATAGTTTGAGAGCCAAGATCTGTAGCACATTGCATGCATTTGGTTGGTACGACCTAGAACAGGATTCACCAGAACAGTGCGTTTGGTTGGCACTGCACCTGTTCTGGGTCGGCCAGAACATGTTCTGCTTTCTCCGGCCTCGAGGCCGGAGCAAACCGAGCAGTTTCACTTTTTCACTGTGAAACCTGGCGGGAACATCGATTTTGGTCCCAAATGATCACGTGCACACACTTTGGGGTTGGACTCTTCGTACTGTACACAGTCACCATGGTGACACATACACATTTTGAAGTATGTACTAAGTTTGGCATATTTTTTTCACAAAAATGTGCTCTGTTTCTGGAGTACCGTGTAGTTGGCATGGGGCTGCGCCATGTGCACCAGCTGTTCGATCCTGTTCTAGATCGTACCAACCAAACGCACCGTGGACGTACAGAAACTAAAAATGAATTGAAAACGCACACTATGAGGGTAACTTAGTAAAGATGATTCGGAGACCTTTGGTTGGAGGAGTTACTTTTGCCCCGCCCCCACTTCCATCCAATATGTCACCGCCCCCGCTGTGCAGCATCTGATGGTTCTGTGGTATTCAGTGAAAAAACTAAAAAAAACTTGCCAGGTGTGGGTTGGTAAAGGCAGGTTGTTACATTTGTACAGACACCGACTCCACCACACTCTTTGCCGCTGTCAGCATCGACCGAACACTGACTGGTGACTCGAGACTGGTCCACGCAGCGTTGCTTGTGGCACACGAGGTCCTTGTTAGCGCCGCTGGCATCACAGCGTGTTCCGTCCTTCACGAGCGATGGGTCATCGTGGCTTCTTGGCGGGGACGCGTACAAACCATTGCACCTGATTATACCGCCATCACCGCGTACGGGAACGGTGTTTGACAGAACATCACTACTGGGTTGGTTCTTTCGAACAACTGGAAGGCAGAACAAACTACCACATAGGGCATCTCCAGCCGCACAGGCTGCATAGGTTCCTGGGGTGGAATTGGACGAATTGAAACCACAGTTACCCGTACGTTCTCCAAATACGTTCATGATTGAGAAGCAATCCTCAGGAGCTGACCCTTGATCCATATCGTTCCAGACACTCTGACACTGGCCAGTTCGTGATTGGCAAACTCCACTCCAGCAGGATGCTTGATTATTAGAGCAAGGCCAGCCATTGCGTGCGGTCAGGTCCTGTGGACATGTGGCATTCTCGCCGTCGCAGTACTCCACCACGTCACAGTTGCTGGTGGCGCCGCGGCAGACCTGATCCCGGCGTGTCACGATGCGCTTGTTCTCGCAGCATGGGTCCGTGTCCGCACACCCTACATTAAACCAACACACAACAACAACATTGGTCAGTATGCCAGACATTGGCATAACACTAAGAAATCAGTCTACGAACCTCCCAAAGAAAAACGTGTGCAGCATGCAAATTATGCCCGCAGCAGACATCGAGAAAAAAAAGATGTGAGGTACTATTTAGGGACTTTCACAGTCTTTGCGGGGCACGGCATGACAGATGGAGCAGACTTTTGGCTTGTAAATCCACGGCCAATACTGTTCTTTATGTCGAGATGCTGGACGGGCTTGAGTAGGAGCTGATTATTTCAATCCATTGGACCAGAACACATCCCATCCAACATCTACAACGGCCTGGCTACCCGTTCTATGGGGTCTGGTGATGGCGAAAACTCACATCAGGCAATGTAGTGTGCCTGTAGTTCCAACCTGTTCTAGTGACCACTGGGGAAAGCTTAATTTCTTCACTCTACTCGGCCAGTGGAGTAGAAAATTTGCATTTCCCTGACATAAATCTACTCGGCTTACATCATCGACAAACCATTCACGGCGGCTGCAGGCAAGGTCAAACCATTATATCAAGAATCCATAATCCTCCAGAGTGCGCAACTTCACTGATCAGATCTGGGACGAAATCCGTGTTGAACGTCATAGTGTGACATGAGTAGGGAAAGTGTGAACCGTGGTTGATCGCGTCGACGCAATGACGCAAGTCCGACCCAAACATGACGTAAATCACGGATTACGCCGTCCCACAACCCCATCCTAGTTGCGCACTCTGCGGGATTATGGACTCTTGATGATATTAATGAGGCAGGGACACTCCACTTCTCAAAATCCGCTGTGATCAAGTCCCGCTTATGTTTCCCGGGTGACACAAAATGGGCATTTTGCAACAAGCCAGGAGACCAGAAGTTGCTGGGGCCGATGACCGCCATTCATGCATGCAAGTTGGCTCAACTTGTCCAACCGACGACAGGCAAATCAACTACTACAATGTACCATGCTTTCCAGAGTAATCGCCGTACCTGAGTATTATCCGTGCCCAGATTATACCCATCCACCCTTTACATCGTGGTGTATTAATTTTAACCACTGGAGTGTGAGCAGCACAGACCTTTTATTTTTTGGGGGGTGTAAATTAGGAGTGTTTAAAATGCGGACTGTAATCCGAACACATGGCATTACTTTCACTGGACATAGATTTACAAAGCGAAAGAAATGTAACTGCAACATGCAGTACGCACGCCGAAGGAATGCAGCGTATTCGCTTCATTAAGTAGACACTTACGAGTCTGGCACCGGTCACCAATCCATCCTTCAGCGCAGGTGCAGGTGCCGTCTTCATTACAGCGACCCTGGTTCAGACATGTTCTGCACTCTGCAGCAGTTATTGTGTGCAGTGCATGACGTACATATTGTTTCAGTGCACAACAAAAATAGCAACAGAACAGCACAGCATGGTTAGTACATGATTCATGATCATCATCGGGTGCGACACGTCAAAGCAGTTTTTTTAAACATCCAGATTACACAACACCCCAGGTGCACTGGGGGGAGATCCACCACATTCAAACGGAATGATTATAGTAGTAGTGGGTCTGGATCTGGATCAGGGTATGAAGAAACGATCACAACCTCAGCCTTATATGCAATGAGTGAAAATATCTGTTTGCATTGACAAAAATGAATATATTGTTACCTACCGAGTTGGCAATGTTCTCCGTAGAATCTTGTCGGGCAGATGCATTTACCCTCGTTGTCACACTGGCCCTGGTTCAAGCACTTGCAGTCGTCTGTAGAGATACGATGTGTTCATGCATGCGCAACAAGAGCAGGGAATGGCAAGGAAAAGCATCACGGCATGCTATGCAATGAAAAGCATGACGGGAGCAATTGAACCACAAACAAGTTACCAGTGGTTGCGCCAGACTGTCTAAGCACCAGATTTCCCAGAGTATAAAAGCCACACATCACTAGTTCAACCCAAAAAAATTAGGGGTGAGGACTATTCTGCGTCAAATTAATTAACGGCAATAGATAGGGTAGTAAAAGTGGAGAGGCTTCCTGCATTTTCATAAACAGTTGAGAGTAGAGCCCACACGCTCTATTCCAACGTTTCGGCAAATTGCCTTCATCAGGTTCACAATGATGTGCAAGCTTCCAAACTATAGGGTAGGTAGCTGCATTTCGTGGCAAAAAAATCTGGGTGTGGAAATACGGACGTGATATCAGCACTTGGTTATGTATAGTATTTTCCAGAGTAAAATCCACATTCGAGTATAAAGGCCGATTCACAATACAACTTCTAGCAACGCGACATGCGACTTGTGACACCTGCGACGAGCTGCGACAAGCCGTGACAGCGACACACAGGTCACAATCTTTTTTTCATGTATGCGAAATCCTTATGCACTAGTGTGCAGAGGCCACTCCTCAAGATGGCGGCAAATCCGAGAGTACAAAAAATTCGTCTCTGGCTATGTGCGCGGCGGATGCGAATCTCGCACGTGCATGCAAAATCTAGCCTACTACAGATCTGGGTAGAGCAAGTGTGTTGGAACGACGACCTTTTCCGAGAGAGAATGTGGCTCTTTTTATCCTAACATTTTACTGGCCACGCTCTCCCTCCCAGCTTATTGATACGAGTATCTGCTACCGAGTAGAAGTCTCCATCTTCACAGCAGGCCAGGCAAAAGCGAAACATTGAAATACTTTGCTCACTTGTTTTTTTTGGTTCTTTGAGGTGTTGATGTGGTTGATGTGTACAACTCAAAGTGACAAGCTTGAGACCCCAGCGCCACAAAGTTTCGTTTGGCTGTTCAATGAAAGGACATATGGAACCAGGGATAAAAACTATCGTGGCTGCCGGCCAAACTCCTAGCTAGTAATGTAATAAACGGGGGGGGGGGGGGGGGTGACATTGATAATTCCAAGGAGAATGTACGCACGGCCATTCCACAACGAAGACGTAACTACGAGCTCAAAAACACTAAGATTTTCAAACAAAAGACGCAGGAAAGAAGACATGGCCGCAGCGTTCCCGTGTAGCCTTCAAAATGCCTAATTTTACTTCGATAGCGGCTGGTTCAGGGCAAAATCAGGCCCAATTCGACCGCGTCGTACCGCTCAGATTCGCCCAAAACACGAGGAAATGTACGGTAGATCCGAATGCGTACGCATTTCGCGTACGGGGACGACTGGCCAGAGTTCATGCACTGCAAACACCCGTGTAGTAGTACTATGCACGTGCACTGCATGAGCACCCAGGGTAGAAACTGTACTCCATTTGTGCATGTCGAACGTCACATGTCGCAAAAGTTGAACTTTCTTCAACTTCTGCGACAGGTGCCTTGCGACTGTACGCGACAGCTCGAGACAGACAGTTTCTAGTCGCAACTGTCGCAAGTCGCGTCGCAGAAAGTGGTGTTGTGAATCGGCCTTAATTAAGCTGCACTTGAGTATAAGCCACACGCGGATTTTGTTGGTCCTGAAATATAAACATGAGTATACCCCGTTCACCAGCGGGTTATTTCCATTGTAGTACATGTATAATCCACACAGACTTAGACAGTTTTATCCTGCAGTCTTACCCTTTTCACAGTATTCTCCATAGAAGACAGTGCGGTTGCACTTGCAACTCAGGTCCTGGGCCAGAACGCCATTAGCACAGTGCTCTGCGCAGAAAAGACAACACAAAAGGCTCCATTGCATCACTCGCTCACAGTTCGCTACACTTGAATGTTCGCAGCATCACAACACACTGAATTGAGTGGGAAGTCCGTTTAAAAAATTATATCAGGGCATGTCGGACTGTGGGTGTTGATTTGAATGGTCCATATCAGTGGAAGCTGCAGGTCCATCGCTAATCGGATATTCCTTATCCAACGTCAGCACCCAGTCAGCTCGGCAAGCGTTGGGCAAGGACACTAAAATTAATATGTGGCCACTTCTTCCACCACCGAATGTAAAGCAGTTTGTACAGTGGTCCATGCTTCATGTGCATGACGAGGTATCTTGTCATTGTCGATTTAAGCTAATTCATTTGCTGCTAAGCCAGCGCTGTAGGTGATGCCAATGTATATGATACTCTCGGTAAGGCTCTCAGCCCCATACTATCACATAATTCTACGTCTGCAGGGTGAATAGCACAGAAATGTTTTCTCCCAGAAACAAAAACACAACCTAAATCTCCTTTCATGAAGTAGTGCCAAAGTTTGAATATATTGCTGGGACAGTCAGACCTTGCTTATCCGGTCCTCTTTTATCCGGATCCTTTGCCATCCGGAAGAAAATCGTTGGTTACCGATTTACAGCATATGCAGTGCATACATACAGTAGGTGTGTTCGATTATCCGGTTCCCTCGCCTTGTTTGCAACTATTCTACACACATACGAAAGTGTACATGCCTCCGGACAAGCAAGACAAAAACAGGCTTCGAGGATAACCAGTTTAAAAACTGTCTTAGGGCATGTTCGTTTGGTAGGGTCGGGATCCCGATCCACTGGATCCACTGGATTCGCACCCTTTCGATTGGTCGAATCCGGATCCTTTGGATTTGGATCCCGTCAACCCACCTCGGGGAGTGGGGTTGACCGGATCCAACGGATCCTTTTTGCCAATCAACCTTTTTTGCCACGACAACTGCACATTTGGCGGGACCCGACCCGCGGGAATGCCTTTCCTCACGCCTTGCACAGCAAAAGTTTGGTTGTTTCATTCCTTTGTTATTTTTTGGTTTACCGTTTCAACCATTGCGTATCCTTTGCTGGCAAACAGCCCTGAGTGGCAGCGAAATTCAACATATGGAGATGCGGAACTCGTTGGATCCATGGAGCTCTTTTCCCTCGGGCCACCAACAGTCGACGGGGAAGTTTCGTTTTCTTCCATTTGTGCTTCGTTCCAATTCAACTCACTCCAATTTTGGCTGTTATTGCGGCTTCTACCACTGCGGCTCATTATGCGGCAACTAGCCCACGTTTGAAGCGGAATTCAACACATATGGACATGGAGATACGGAACCCGTGGGATCGGGAGCACTTTTCACTCGGGCCATCAACACGTGGAGGTTTCACATTAGTCCGTTTATGCTTCGTTCCGATTCAACTCACTCCAATTTTGGCTGTTGCTGCTTCTACAACTGCGGCTCATTGGGCGGAAAATAGCCGACATGTACAGCGAAATTCAACATATGGAGATACGGAACCTGTGAGAGCCCTTTTCACTTGGGCCGTCAACACGTGGAGCTTTCAATTTCTTCCATTTGTGCTTCCTTCCAATTCAACTTACTCCAATGTTTGCTGTTACTGCTTCTACAACTGCGGCTCATTGGGCGGCAAATTGCCAAGATTGGCACCGAAATTGCAAACACGGCCGGACCAGACCGGAGAGATGATCCTAGTATGGCGAGAATGACGTGAGGGACAACTTTTCCTCGCATATAAAAGGCATTCAGCACGATTAGTATTCACTATCTCCCTCATCTTTCTCGCTCCTGACAATGGCAGCTGAAAGTCTTGCGTCAAAGCCCCCTCAGCCCAGTGGCCAAGATCGTAGGCCTGGCTTTCAGTGGACAAGACGGCTGACGCCGGAACTAATTTCGGCACGGTCTGAAAATGACGGCTTTTTTCAAGACATCAACTGGAGGAAAAAGAGTGTGTGGAACCGGATTTCCCAGCGAATTGCAGTAACATTCCCGGATGAGGAACTACATCCGTCTGCAGAACAATGTGAAAACAGATGGAAAAACCTGATGAAAGCGTACAAAGCCTATGTGGATTCGCAGCAAAAAACTGGGGCTGACCGTAAACAGCCGCCTGCTTTCTATGATGAAATGAATTCTACGTTTGGTTGGAAGCCCAACATCCACCCAAAATGCTGGTTCCTGTCACTAGACCCCCAAAGCGTCCAGTTGAATTGTCGGATTCGGATGACGATCAGGATGGTGAAGCAAGAGTATCATCCGCTCCGACCACACCGCAATCTACTCCAGTCCGTCTCAATGCTCCAGCAGGTGCATCAGCAGCCGTGGCAACCCCTGCCGCTGATGATGAGGAGAAGGGCGTAAAGAAGAGGATAAAGCGGTCTGGAGGGCAGTCCAGTGACGCCCTGGAATGGCTCAAGCAGACGAAATGTGAACATCGAACCTGACAAGAGCATAAGCACAACGACCAGATGGCAATACTTGGCGACCTTACTGCAGCTGTCAATAGGCTTGCAAAGCAGTAGAGGCATACTTCGAAGTACTATTTATGTATGTATCTATTATGAGTTTGTGAAGCATACAGCATTTGTTTCTACATAACATCCAATGCTACATGCACATACATACACACACACACACACACACACACACACACACACACACACACACACACACACACACACACACACACACACACACACACACACACACACATACACACACACACACACACACACACACACACACACATACACACACACACACATACACACACACACATACACACACATACATACACACACACACACACACACATACACACACACACACACACACACACACTAACACACATACACACACACACACACACACACACACACACACATACACACACACACACACACACACACACACACACACATACACACACACACACACACACCAATGATTCGGTGATGATACTTTGCATCTACAATTTTTATGTATCCCTCTCTCAATGATGTATCATTCAAGATACTCGAGTTTGTGCTTATTTCACTGCTTATAATGAGAAAGTACTACCTACGCATTATCGAGTATCATCTTCTGGTTGCGTGTATGTGTGACGCGGTTTGCGTTAAAGCATGGGGTGGCAGGGAAGACTACCAATCACACACTACTGCCTACTTGCACGACACTATTCCTTGCCATTCTCTGCAGTCAGTAGCTGGCACCCAAAAGCTTTTCACACATGCTTTGATTTGAGAACAGTTGCATGGAAGGTAGAGTGTGGAAAGAAATGAGGACCCTACTCAAATACAGCAGAATTATGCGAAGAGAGTAGTAGAAAGTCAATAATTGTGAAAGTCTGCCTACCTCTGTTAAGCAATGAGATCCACAATTCGGTTGCGCTTGTCTGCGGCACCGGTGTTTGGTTGAAAATACTACGTTGGATTAGGTACATCACCTTCAGGTAGGTCTTGAAGAAAGTCACCGACATCGTCTTCGTGCATGATGGCCATATTGTGCAACACACAGGCGGCAATGGTGATATGGGTGGCGTTCTCAACATTCACAATATTTAGATACTTGAGTTGCCTCCATCTTCCTTTCAGCAATGCGAAAGCTCTTTCAATACACATCCGTGTTGACGAGTGCCTGAAGTTATAATTGGTCTGACTTGCTGTGCGGTGACCATCATCCCTGAAGGGAGTCATCAGCTTCGGCTGTAATGGGTACGCAGAATCTCCAACGATAAAGGCTTCTCCAGAAAAGAAACGACCAGCATCTTCAGTGACCAACTGCTTCAGGGGACTGTTTTCGAATACTCTGGCATCATACACAGAGCCAGGCCAGCCACAACACGCATCCGTAAATAGCAGGTTCCTGTCGCAGACTGCTTGTAGAATAACGGAATGAAATTTTTCCTGTTCAGGTATGTCTCAGGTGCCTCATTTGGTGCTGCAATCGGGATATGGCAACCATCAATCGCCCCCATGACGCCGTGGATGTGCTGAGCTGAATGAAATTCTGCTTGCGTCCTCTCTGCACCTTGCCCCTGGGGCCAACATATCAATAACGGAGCCATGTCCTGCAAGGCAAAACACACACGCCGTACGCTGTGCCATACTGTCGATTTGGATAGACCAAACTTGTCTGCCACCTCTCTGATGGTGCTCTTACTGCCAAGCCACCAAAGAGTAACCAAAAGTTGCTTGCGCACGGGTATAGGCTTCCGACCTCCATTGCCCTGCACAGCTATGTGGACAGACTGGGATAGCTTTGTGCATACAATTTCTACTGTTGCACGGTGCAAACGGAAGTGTCCACGAAAATCTGAATCAGACTGCAGAGGCATAACAACTTCGACGTAGACCCTCTGCCGCAGAACTGATACACGTCGAGGTGTTCGAAATCCAAGGACTCCATTGAGGCCAGGTTGGTGGGACAGTACACAAATCTCATCAAACAAATCAGACGGTATCTCCTCACTTTGCAGGATTCTGGCAACTACCACAGCTACAATGCCAACTACGACACAGATTTTCCGTCGGCAAATCTCATTATCTCCTTTGTCCATGATGCTTGCTACCGAAAAATGGAACTGCACAAGACCTCACGAGGCAGGAGAACAACAGCTAACTTCACAAGCTACACGTGGAATGGAATGGAAGTGGAACAGTGGCTTTTTATGGACTTGAAATGGTCCTATTATGGAGGCGGCAACATGATCGCAGAACCCTGCTAGCTCACGCGTTTAGATTTGAACTTCAAAATTTATTACAAAAATTGACCGGTACCTTGACAACCTTGGCAACTTTCAATCGCCATTTTTGTACGTCATCATTACGACGACCAACTGTGCTAGCCATCATTCGATTGGAGCTGGGAGGATCCGAGTGATCCAAGATCGGGATCGGGAACCGGATCCCATCAATCAAACATGCCCTTGTTGATAAAATATTTTTAGGATATTAATACTGCATTTGAATAATTAGAACAACAACTCTGCAAAAGACTCAGCTCGGAAGCCGAACTTCCAGGATGATTACGCTTACGAACTGCACCCACAAGCTCATCAGTCAGCCAGGGGCATGGGCGGCGTGCGCGTTTACGCTGGGGTACCAATGGTGCATACTGGTCTAGTGTGGACATGATAGAAGAAGTGAAAGAATGAACCATATCATGGATATTGCTGTGGGCATCAAAGTCTTGCTGCTGTTTCCTCTGGAGGTCGATACTGAAACTGTCCCAGTTTACTCGATGGAGACGTCTGGTGGTTTTTACTGACGATGACACGTGGTGGTGTGTGTGAATGCTCAACCGGGCCAGCACAGCAAAGTGATCACTTATGTCTAAGTGTATTGCTGCACAGGTAACATCCAAAGGGGAGGATGAGAGGAACAAATCTAGCATTGTGGATGATGTTGCCGTGACTCGAGTTGGAGATGTAACATAATTGCAGAGATTGAAGTGGGAAAGTATGTTGTACAAAGGGGATGGAGAAGTTGGATTGCTAAAATCAACATTGAAGTCGCCACAGTGGACTGCTGACATCCCTGAACAGCTTGCTCAACGTTCTGATCCAGTGTGGTCCAGTAGGCAGCAGAACTATTTGGCGGCCGATAACAGCAGCCGAGGAGCGTTCCATGTCGACCAGGGGCTAGAATCTCCAGCCACAGCATCTCTAGCTCGCACTGTAAATCGGCCCGTTGCCGAAAAGCCAGTGACTCGTGACAATACACAGCAACTCCGCCACCTCGCTGATCAGGTCTTTCTCTTCTGTATAGCTCGAAGTGCGGGATGGACAACTCCTGATCGGACACATCCGGGGTCAACCATGTCTTGGCTATCACGAGAACGTGAATGCCTCGTGTTGAGATGAACGTTTGAACTTCTGCTACCTTCCGCCGAACACTACACACATTCAGAAATCCCACACTGAGTGACTGGGTCGAGGAGGTAGGTGGTGCTGTGGGTGTTACATCATAGTTATATTTCGGCACAGCAGACATTGGCATAGCAGATGTTGGCATATGATATACTGGCACAATTACTGTTGTCCCAATCTGCATTGCCACAATGCATGTTTGTATAAGTCATGATGGCACAGATATGGTTGGACGAAACCTGTTGACACTCAAGGCATTTTCATAACGACAGATTGCATGCCTTCTCACCGGCCGGTAGTACCCAAGAAATCGCTCTGCAACAGTGATTTTGGTTGGGAATCTTCCTGAAACATTTGTTGGTATGAGGTCTTTCATTTATAAGGCAAATTAAAGGGGCAAATGAAGCAATGTTTTATTCCTCTGTGTCCGCAACCAACATGATATGCTATTTCGTTATGTTGGTTGCAGACACAGATGAATAAAATATTGCTTCCACAGGGACAGCCATTGATAAAACCACTCTAAAATATAATCATCACTTACTGACACAGAGAATTTTGGCGTGGCGATTAATTGTGGAATTTTGAAATGGATTACTGCGATTTCTAAACGTTACAGTTATGTAATGGGAGTTGCCATTCACTCGGATTGGTTTGACGTGGTAAGGTGCGTGCCGAAGAGCCAATCTATCTAGCCAGCGCTCTCTTAATACATGGCCATGTGCTTGCAGCCAGTCATAGGTTATGAGGTGAAGTCCGTACTCCTGACATGCCTCCTCTGCAAACTGCTCAGTCACGTTGGGTTTCAGTGATGGCGTGGCTGCGGCGTATACCGAGTCGTTGTAATGGAGCCACTTGGCTGCAGGACAAGGGTACATACAGTAGTGGGCAGATAATAGGTACATTAGTAATGAAATATACTCGAATAACGGCTGCCCTGGGCTCTATAGTCGTACTCAATGAAACTTTGTCTGATGGCAGTGTCAGAGCAATGAACTAAAAAAAGAAGGTAATCGATAACCGCTTTGCAGTGATCGTTTCAGCCCTACCCTGAGTATTTGCCGGGCACACACACACACACACACACACACACACACACACACACACACACACACACACACACACACACACACACACACACACACACACACACACACACACACACACACACACACACACACACACACACACACACACACACACACACACACACACACACACACACACACACACACACACACACACACACACACACACACACACACACACACACACACACACACACACACACACACACACACACACACACACACACACACACACACACACACACACACACACACACACACACACACACACACACACACACACACACACACACACACACACACACACACACACACACACACACACACACACACACACACACACACACACACACACACACACACACACACACACACACACACACACACACACACACACACACACACACACACACACACACACACACACACACACACACACACACACACACACACACACACACACACACACACACACACACACACACACACACACACACACACACACACACACACACACACACACACACACACACACACACACACACACACACACACACACACACACACACACACACACACACACACACACACACACACACACACACACACACACACACACACACACACACACACACACACACACACACACACACACACACACACACACACACACACACACACACACACACACACACACACACACACACACACACACACACACACACACACACACACACACACACACACACACACACACACACACACACACACACACACACACACACACACACACACAAGGAGAACGATGTCAAAAACCGGGGCGAGAGGTTAAAGTGAAAAAAATGTTCTATGCATACAAAGAAGGAAGGTTGCCGCTACTCAAACATCTCGATGAGCAGCATGCTGGCTATACCTAAAGCTGCATGTGGCTGGGCAGACCTCAGTGACCAGCAGTACGCCACTGTTGCAAACCACCCCAGTGGTTCTACCCAGTACAGTTGCTCTTGGTGAGACCCGGCCCAGCGTGCAGATTTAGTGCCTTCAACTTGCGCGGCCATTGACGCCGTGGAATTGGGACAAATGTGGCCGCGTACGCATGTACAATACAATGATGTAATCAGAACTGATCCAGGGCAGCCAGCTTTGCACTTTGGGTCTATTTTCACCGAGCGCAACTGCACTTAAAGCAGTCCCGGAGAAAGAAGTTTTAACCAAGCTATGAATAAAACGTACGATGCCGACATAATAATGTGATGAACAAATTAACTTTGTATCTTTATAGTTGTAGTCTCTTGGGGCGTGTTTGATTGGTCAGATCCAGAACAGGGGCGTTTTGAACAGGGGCGTTTGATTGGTCTGCACTGGTCTGCTCTAGGTTTGGAGTGTTCAGAACATGTTCTGACCACTCCGACCCCAGAGGCTGGAGCAGCCAGAGCTTGTTGCAAAGCCCAATGAGAACCTGACATGACTACCCAATGAGTTTCGTTTTTTTGTTTTCATTTGAATAGATTTTGGCATGCCAGTGATTACGAAAGGGCGTGGTGATGTACATGGAGGTCTAAGTGTGATTTTGCACATTACACGGCGGTCCCCACATCCATGATTTATTTTTTGGCTGTCTTCGAAGCTTCTTCTCCGGTTGTAGTTGCCTTTCAAGTTTGTTTTGCCTTCGCATGTTGAGCAATGTAAACATCTTTGAAGTCTGTGTAAATTTTGAAGTTCGCAGCATGGTGAGCTATCGTGAGTTCTACAATATTTCAGGCAAAAATATTCGCCGTTCTGTTTGATTGGTAACTGGTGTTCTGACTGCTCCAGTGACTCTAATCTGAATCCGGATTCACCAATCAAACATGCCCTTAGTTTATTTCCTTCTTATCCTGTAGTGTTTTGAGAAGAAGGGAACGAAAACTTTCAATACGTATTTCACATGTCCGGACTGGCTGATGGTATGTTCCAGCGTAGATGCATACGACAACATGATATTTTTCTAACGAACAAATGGAACAAAATATGCAAAGAATAATTCATGAACGTCCCAGTTGTCACCGTTATGCCGGGTTATGACACAAGCATAGACATGAACTGTTTCTTAGCAGATGGGGTGAATTGGTAACTCGCGTCTGGGTCCGACTCCGGCTAGATGGGTAGGTTTTCCCATTGGAGTGGGAAACCTAAATGAAGGTTGTAATCACTCTTGGCATCGCCTCTCTGTGTCAGTCCTCTAGCCCTGTCAATAGACATGGTTAGCATTTTACCATTCACATTCACTTCGACCGTACGTCGGCCTGTACCATTTTGTGTGTGATTTCAAGACAATGGTTAGCATTTCGGTTTCTGACACAACGATCGACTTGTGACGTACCCTAGTTGGAATCCTACCGTTTCGTTCTTCCGCTAAACAGAGCTTTTTTATCGTCGAAACGGTACCAAACCAATGGTATTTTGGGTGTTGGGTACGAGTACGGTTGGATTTAGAGCGAACGGTTAAATGCTAACCATGTCTACACACACAACAAACGGGTACAGGCCGACCGTCGCAAATCGCGTGAATGGTAAAATGCTAACCATGCATAGTATTACTTTCTACCCCATGGTTGCTGGCTACTGAGCATCTCTCTCACGGGTTCATTTGATCACAATCCAACAGCCTACCTTCGCAGATGACATCATGATGGCTTGTTCCATCACTATCATACAATTCTTTAGTCAAACTGTTCTTGCCCTGCTGGTATATGAGATGTTGGTCATCCTTCACGAACGATGTCCATATTGAAGTAGGGTTGCTGTAAGAGCTCGTCACCATCTTGTTGAGCAATGCTCCCATGCAGTCGCGCACGCCAAGCGTCTGATTGGTGAAGGAATCATGGTCTACCACGTTGTATCCTCTTCTTGTGCACATCTGGCGAGCATGCGTCAAGTTCGTTTTCTTCTGGCAGCTGTCACCGTCGAGGTGTGGATGACACGGCAAGCTGGCGAGAGCCATCCAGGTGTACGTTGCGTTATCTGTACCCAGGCACTTTGTCTTGAAAGCTGAACATAACACAGTACACATGCAAGGCACAGTCAGGTGAAGTAGAAAGCACACATAAACAAGATGTACACTTCCTGAGCAGCGGTACCATAGTTCAATTGAAAATTATATACCTATGCAAATACCACTCGCCCATTTAGCTCCATTTCCTCCAGCAAACTGACTTGCCAGTACACTTTCTCTCCAGGTATCGTTTGACCCACAGTTCAGGACGAAACATTACATTTTGCCCTCTCATTTCACCTTGAAAGACTTTCATCATCTTGGCCTTGTTCGAAGGCTCAGACCTTAGCATATCCATTCTAATAGCTCTCAGCTATAAACTGCGTTCAATTTTAGCTACCTGGTAAAGTAGAGTCACTCTACCGATAGAGGAAGAAGGTAGAGGTAAGAGGACGAACGCTATTCTACCGGATTTATTAGTTTTCACGATATGTACGTGAAATGTTTCTATTCTGTATGGAGGTGTACAAATCCTTGATCTTGCCGGAAATCCCGTAGCTCTACCAACTTCTACCGGTTTCCAGCAACTTTTTCCTGGTAGAGCCGGTAGAGGAAAGTAGAATCCACACTTTTGACTTGAAGTTTTGACTAGAAGAAACGAACGCCTCTACCTAAAGAAATAGTTTCTACCCAAACTTGTAGATCAATAAACGAACGCCCCGTTAATGTTTACAGGTATTCCCACATTTCACAGAAATATGCACAGCAAACGTAGCTCTACCAACTTCTACCGGCTTCAACCAACTTTTTTTCTTGTAGAGCCGGCAGAGGAAAATAAAACCCACCCTTTTGAGTAAAAGAACCGAACGCCTCTACCGAAAGAAATAGTTTCTACCCAAACCTGTAGATAAAAAACCAACGTCTCTTTAATGTGTACAGGTATTCCCACATTTCACAGAAATATGCCAGCACACTGGAATTCACTTCATACAGCATAATACTCACTATGCTGACACTTGTCTCCATGGAAACCGTTCCGGCAGTTGCAACTGCCATCGTCAGTGCACTGACCGTCATTCAAGCAATTACATGCTGCAGCAGTGATTGGGAATATTCACGCATTTTCCAAAAAAGCACAAAGAGAGGAACAAAAAAGCGGGTTCTTGACATGTCCTTGAACATGATAACATGGAGACGTTAAATTAACTCTTGACAACAAAATAGCTCAACTCATGAGAGTGACCAACTCCCCATATATATATGCATTATTTATTCCACATGAATAGAATAAAGAGGTAGAATTGGTTGGAGGAACTGGCATGACGACATAGAAGTTTTTTTCTTCTTCTCGACTCCGAATACAACATTCCAGCATGCATGAACCCATGGATCATACATTATTTGACACGCAGGCATATTACAGTAGCTTTCTTTAGCCCTTACCTTCTGTGCAGTTGGGTCCATCTAGTCCCTGTTGACATTCGCACACTTTGCTCTTTTTGACCCAGGGTTCCTCGCACACAACTGCATCCATCACATAGCACACACCGAAGAGGAAGAACACGAGAGAGTGAATCAGCCGGAAACGGAGTCAGGCAGACTAAAGACAATTATAAAGTAAAAGAGGCTGGACCAGAGAAACTTGGATAAATCTGGGTTTCGATCATAATGGCCTGGCTGGGCCAGGGAAACTTGGATAAATCTGGGTTTCGATCATAATGGCCTTCTTCCAAAAGATAGAATTGCTACTGAAAGGTAAGCACTCTTAAAGCAGGAATGACAAGCAGCAGTTTACAAATCAGTGCTATCAGTAGAAATTACCATCACTGCTCTGCGGCACACTCAGACAATTGAAACTTTGCTAACAAACAAAATGACGACAGAAGCACAACGTGACATGACCAACTTAAGACAGAGGGTGGTAATAGGTTTTTCATTTGACAAAACCAGACCAAACCAGAGCACTTGCAGACGACAGTTCTCCGGCCACACTCCAAAATAGCAATTTGTGCTACTCCTGAACTGTGAACTGTTCGTGCTTTTTTGTTGTGTAATTTAGGAGTGAAACGAATTCTGAATATTCTGGAATTGTTCCTTTGGATAACAATTCGAAGCATTCGGTTCAGATCGGAATACATTGTGTTTTGGTTTTGGACATTTTGCATGTGCAAGTAAGGCTGCGTTTACACGACAAAGCTGGGGGTGAAAACGCAACAAAATCCTTTCGGATGCATGGTTCATTTACACGGTACGAAGAGCAAAACGTAAAAGTTGTAGACCAAAATGGAAGAAAACCAAAACGCTGGCCAAGGTGGAAGAATTTGAAAACGAAATTGTTCTGCAGGATAAATTTGAGTGTGTAAACAGTCGAAACGGTATGCTGGCCTCATTTTCCGTCACGTTTGTTTCGTTTTCGGCCGTTTACACGGATCCGGCAATCCAAAAAATTGTTTTTACAATTTTCGTCATGTGACGAGTGTTGTTTTGTGGCCTATTCCTGGAGTGTGATTGGTGCTTCCACGACAACACTTGGCACATGACGAACGTTTGCGGATCCTTTGCTCCCGTGTAGAAGCGCGAAAACGATACAAACGGAGACCACCTCGGATCAGCTTTGATCATGTAAACACACGAAAACGAAAGAAGAAATGCGGGACCGAAAATGGAAAACTGGCCGTGCATTTTCATGTAAACACAGCCTAATATTGCAGTCATTGACTAGGTCCGTGTGAGGTTATAGCTTACAACATTAGAGAGGTTCCATACAACATAATTAGTCGATGAATGGAGAGTCCCACTGCATGAGGACCTGTGTTCCGCCTTATGGAGTTTTCGAATCACGTTACTGCCCTTGGCAGCTTGGAACACGGCAGTGTATGACCGGGTCGACCTGGCTAGAGAGTCCTAAATATGTACCACTAACGTAAAGTTGCTCAGCTTTACGTAGTGTCGAACCTCTCTATTGGGGTGCTGTAATTTCACAAATTTTCTGTGTACTTTTATTTTCGGTACTTTCGGTGCGTCTGTTTCATACGTAAAATTTCAAGACACCAAACAAACACTAACACACATAATCCAATAGGGAACTGCTGCTCTGTACCGAAACTTTCTGTCCACCTAACCTAGCCTGTTGCCCTCATACCGAAAATATTGAGCACCGAAAATTTCTGAAATTTTGAGTAACCTCAAGTACATGGCAGTAGAATGCGGTGGTTGGCATGCTGGGAAAGGGGACTATGGCTCACAAGGCTGAACCAGACAGAACTGTCTACATATTCTTTAGTGATGTGAGAACAAACAAACTATAGAATATCCGGTATCCAATTTGAAGAAGAGGTTGGTGCTACTTCGGCGATACTTATTCAATTCGTTTACAGAATATTCGGTACGATTTAGAATATTCGTGTCACCCCAACACTCCTATTTCAAGCGAGCACTCAAAAAGACCAGTATACATGTCCCAGTTCTCTGTCACCCTTGTTAAAACTACCGCGAAGCCTACTCATACACGTAAGGTAAAGGGGAGCCCACTTTTACATGGATGTACGCTCTGAAAATCCCACGCCAGCCATATGAAATGAGTAAAACGAATTCACTTCCACTTACCGAGTTGGCAATGGTGGCCGGTGAATCCCCTAGGGCAGCTGCATTCACCTTTGTTATCACACTCACCTTGGTTCAAGCACTTGCATGCTGCAACAGGCAGGGAAAAAAGCACATGCATCGAGTGAGTTAAACAGAAATAATGCACAGGAGGTCACTGTGTAGTAAGTGGCCCCCGGAGGCAATCACGCACAAACTCAAGTCAAAGCACTCACTTTCTAGTTTTACAAATAATCGTCACAGAAGAAATATTCTATACACACTTGGAACGCAAAGAGAGTAAAGAAGCAACAATAAAGAAGAAAGGAAGGGAACAAAAGTTCGGCAACCTGCAGCCATGTTCTAAGTCCCTAACCAATAAGCAATCTACGAAAACCGGTTGCCGACGAAATTCTAGAACCTTCTGGAACATTAGTATAAGTAGCCAATCACATTTCAAAGCTCAAGAACACAAACAAGACACAGGGGATGTAGGGACGGCTTCTTGTTAGTGTTCATCCCTTCCTCTGGAAGGTGTGTGTTCTGATAAAAACAACAAAAACCTAATGCAGGGCGGTAGCGACCACTTTTGGACTGGTCTCAGTTGGACATTTTACCTTTTAAAACTTGCAGTTAAGATGGTATGACCTAAACTTGGAGAAAGTACTTTTTTCTCGTCCGTCTTGATGATACTGCAAAACCATCAGATGATGGAGACGGCCTTGTGACGTCTTCAGGTGGCGAAATGCACGGAATAACCTCTCTAATGTGGAGTTTGTGGCCGGAAGAATAGACAGTCGTGTGGCAAAGCACTGAACCTGCACCCTTATCATAATCTAGGAAAGCCAATATTGTGCCGTTAGGGCTTAGAAGCGCACATTACAGGCTTCGTTTCCTCGCACAATTGTTTTGGAAACTAAAAACATTGCTGGCTATGGGAATATAAGAAATCTCAGGAACAGATGCCTTCAAGGTTTTCGCAGCCATCTCCGACTCTCGATCAACATGAAGCAAAAAAAACCCTGTGCCGCCAGTCTGTCCCTGAGAGCCCTACATATAAGGCACAGTACATGCAGGTCTCCCTAGACGGTGCTGTGTACATAATGCACATGGTACTGCGCCCAATCGATCGCTGAACTCCCATCAGCTCTCTAGAAAGAGAAAAGGAAACTTCGGCCCGAAAAGTGGTCCGGTGAAACAAGGACCAACCGGACAGGTGGCTTTGCCCCCTGTAATCGCTTACCCACACATACACGCACCTACACACACATACACACACAAGCACGCACATACACGCACACTCAGATATGCATATGCGCACATACAGACACATACACACATATACACACACATGCACACAAACCTAATGGCTTGCTGTCTTACCCTTTTCACATTCTTCACCGTAGGACATAGTGTGGTTACATACACAACTCATGCTTGGTGCAAGAACACCGCTCCCACAGGACTCTGTGCAGAAAAAGACAATAAAAGTCAATATCGGATTACTCTTATGCAGTCTATAACAGGGCTGCCACACTTGGAGGAAGAAAAATCTGACGGGGGTCTGGGGGGTCCCCCGGGTGAAAATATTTAGGAAAATGGCTTGCTGTTGGGGTCCCAGAACACATTTTTAACGGTCAACACATTTGCATTTTACAGCTACATGTACATGTACATGTACAATGACTGGACAAACGCGACCTGGAAGCGCCGAATGGCCAACTGGACTAAAAAGTGCTCAAAACAAAAATCGGTCGGTTTTTCCGACCGCGGATCAAAAATCGGACGATTTCCAAAAAAAATCGGAGCAAGTGGCAGTCCTGCTATAACACTAGAATGGGGATAATAGCTTATCTAAAAAAAACCTGTCACGCAGAATTGAAGGAACAATATGAGTTGTTCTTGGGCTTTTACACCCACGGTACCATAGACCGGGATGCATGACAGCAAGGCACGGTACCATAGAACGGGATGCATGACAGCAAGGCACGGTACCATAGACCGGGATGCATGACAGCAAGGCACGGTACCATAGACCGGGATGCATGGCAGCAAGGCACGGTACCATAGACCGGGATGCATGACAGCAAGGCACGGTATCATAGAACGGAAGCATGACAGCAAGGCACGGTACCATAGAACGGGACGCATGACAGCAAGGCACGGTACCATAGAACGGGATGCATGACAGCAAGGCACAGCACCATAGAACGGGATGCATGACAGCAAGGCACGGTACCATAGAACGGGATGCATGACAGCAAGGCACGGTACCATAGACCAGGATGCATGACAGCAAGGCACGGTACCGTAGACCGGGATGCATGACAGCAAGGCACGGTACCATAGAATGGAAGCATTACAGCAAGGCACGGTACCATAGAACGGGATGCATGACACCATAACACTTCCAACACGGTTTCTGAGCTCTTGCTGTACGATAGATACATCCGTATTACTGTGCAGTGCATACTGCAAATGCTCAAATGTTCGGAACTCGCCTTTCCCTGAAAGGAATTGAGCAATCGAAAAGTCTATTTGCATAGGAAAGTTCTCAGCTCCGTCGGCAAATAGTAGGGTTACAGCCCTCGCCAGGGATTTTACGTCAAGTAGTAAACTTTCACCTCCTCACGCGGTGACAGTCATGGGAATTCCCCCTGTTTCTTGACAACAACAAAAAGTTGTCTGTAAATTATCTCAACCCTGGTGGCATGTCGAACTTCAGCTTGTCATGCATTTTGATTCCTCGCAATTGGAATCCAGGGAGCAAATTCTCCCCCGTCTCTGCCACAAACTGATATTGCGCCAAACAAAACCTTAGAATCAAAACATGCTGTAATGACTTCGAAATTAAACTGGGAAGACACAGAAGAAACACAGCCTGAATCTCAGTTCTGGGAGTGTTCTCAATGTTGTGATTCACCGTGGGTGCAAGAAATGCTGGGAGACGACATGTTTGCACATTGCAAGTGGGCACATCGTTGGGACAAGCCCTGTTCATACAGTGCACGTAGCGACGGGACACATTTACACAAACGCACAACTATCTTCATCACGTTAGCGGCACAAACAGGGACAAACACACAGCTTGTGCATGGACAGCCATTGCAGAAGACAGTCACTTATTATTCTCTCACTTACTGACACAGAGAATCTTGGCATCCTCATGGCTTGTTTTGTTCTTAAACGTCACATGTTGTCTGCTAAATTTTACTGTTCTGTAAAGGGACTGACCATTGACCAGGATTGGCGCGACGTGGTAACCTAATCCGTCGGACTTATCTAAAGCCAATCTCTCTAGCCAGCGTTCTCTTAACACATGGCCATGTTCTTGTAACCAGTCTTTGGTTATGAGGCGAAGTCCGTACTGCTGACATGCGTTCTCTGCGCACTGCTCAGTCACGCTGGGTCCGAGTGCTGGAGTTGCTGCGGCGTATACAGAATCGTTGGCATGGAGCCATTGGGCTGCAAAACAAAGGGCATATACAGTTGCGGGTAGAAACAAAAATAGGCGGAAGAGAACTAAGACAAGCGGCATCAGTATTGCTTTAACGCTGCGTTTCGTGCAAATAGCAAGGCCAAAGCTGTGTTCATTTTTAGCTACCTAGTAGAGTAGAGTCACTCTACCGATAGGCCACACGTTTTTATTTCTATGTTCCTCGTCACCTGAAAATCTAAAAATGTATGCGAGAGGTGGAAAATACAAAATGACCGAAGAATAAAAAAAGTTTATTAGACCTTTGTTCACACTAAAATCCACCAATACACCATGCAAAACAGCATCCATAGTTAGCAACTAGTATGTGGTAGGCGCTTCTATCACAATCTGTGCATGTGCAGCTAGACTGCGCACAACAAATGCCGACCTGGCATCATGTGTCGCACAGGCCACGCCACATTGTGTACATGTGCATGAGTGTGCTGGTCCCCACATGCACAGTCAGTGCAGCACAGTTTTTTTTTCTTTTTTTCTTCAAGACTCCTAAATCGTATGCGCGTGGGTGACAAGAAACATAGAAATAAAAATGTGTGTCCATAGAGGTAGATGGTAGAGGCAAGTGTACGAACGCTGTTCTACCGGATTTAGTAGTTTGCACGATGTGTACGTGAAATGTTTCTTTTTTGTATGGAGTTGTGTACAAATCCTTGAGCTTGCTGGAAATCCCATAGCTCTACCGACTTCTACCGGATTCAACTAACTTCTTCCCGGTAGAGCCGGTAGAAGAAAGTAGAATTTACCCTTTTGAGTCGAATTTCTTTTCCAAAAACGAAAAACTCTACCGAAAGAAGTAGTTTCTACCCAAACCTGTAGATCAAAAACGAACGCCCCCCAAAGCAATCCTCAGACAACTGAAATTCTCGCTATTGTGAATTTAATATCGTGCTTGATGACACCCGATCTCTTGGATACGGAAGTGCCCAGAGCTAGTGAGTAGTTCAATGTTCACAGGTCTGGGGTTCGCCAGACTTCATAGAGCAGCACCGTGTCACATTTGCAAACAATTCAGCGGTTCTACCAAGGGAGTAGTATAACACCGGGTTATGACACAAGCATACGCATGAAATGCTTCTTCGCAGGTGAAATCAATTGGTTACGCATGTGTGGGTCTGACCCTGGCTATAACGGTAGGTGTGACATTGATGTGAGAAACCCAGGTGGCTGCACTCTTGTTGTCTCTTTGTTTCATACTTTCCTGTCCCATCATTATCATTGGACATACTATCCTGTCCATGCATGCACTGTGTGCTACTCAGCATTCTCACCATTTGCCCGTCCAATGATATCGCTTTAAAACAAGCAATTGTTTACCTTCGCAGATGACATTGTGACGGCCGAACCCATGAACACTAAATATTGCACCACCCGATTTGTTCTTGTCCTGCTTGTAAATAATATGCCGACGATTGTACTCGGATGATGTCCATATCGTGATCGGGCTGCTGTTACTGTTCACCATCATCTCGTGGAGCAATGACTTTACGCAGCCACGCACACCAAGCTTTGAGCCGAGCAAGGTGAAGGTTTTAAAGTCGACCAGCTGATATCCCCTATCTCTGCATGCGTCTCTGGCTTTCGTCCAACTGGTTATCTTCGGGCAGCTGCCAGAATAACACGGCAAGCCGGCGAGAGCCGTCCAGGTGTACATCACCTTGTCCGTACCCAGGCACTTTGTCCTGAAATCTGAACACAGCACAGTACACAGACATGTACAACATACTCAGGTACAGGAGAAAAATATTACGGTGGCCAAAAAACCCTTTCTGTCCGACTTGTGTTCAAATTTTCAAGGTTGAAGCACTATAAGGACAAGCTGTTAATCCCATTATTTTGCTAGTGGGTAACGGATCCTTCTCTATATTTTGGGCCTGTGAAAGTCACACCCAGACATTCTCATTTATGCGCTTTTACCAACAGGATGAAGGCTTGTACTAATTATGATATACCGTAGTGTCTTGTAGCCTATATCATATAGAAGCAAACGGCGGGGAGACAATAATTTGATAACCGCAATAAAAAAATTAGCTGAAACGAAATTTGTGTATTTTATTCACTGAAACAATTTACAAGTGTTGGAAGCTATCTATCAGCGTCTGTATAAGCCAAATTTGTGTGTACAGAAAGATAGTATAATTGGGTTGAAATTGTTCAAGTAACGTGTCGTGTTTGGTTCAGGCAAGCTTGGCCGTTAATGTTCTAAGTGAAATCAAGAGTACATGAAAACCAGAGTGTGCAGCTTGGGGCCTTTTCTGCTATGGGTGTCTGTCACGGCGAAATTCCGTGATTACATCATATTTGGCCCAGATCTGAGGCGGGAAATGGCGTAGTGCGTACAACTGAGCTGCAGTTGTGCAGAAAGAGACCTGCTTGAATCCTGCTACATCACTAAAATGATGTAATCACGGAATTCTGCAGTGACAGCCACCCATCCGAGCTGCACACTCTTGTTTTCATGAACTCTAGGTGAAATGTTCTGCTTGTATGTGTTATCACTTTGTCCTTCCTTCTTTCTTTCTCTTGTTTGTTAATTTCTCGCTTTGATTGTTAAAATTCACACTAGTAAATTTCATTGCTGTTGTTCTTAGTGTTATTTCTCTAACCTAGATTTTCTATAAGAGTTCAATTTTGTTTCAATGTCCTTTAGTACAACGACGAATCCTGATGAGTGTTGTACGAAAACTTGTTTGAATCCATTTTTTTCTCCACACCATTTCTTCATATTTTCATCATTTTATTGCACATCGTCTCCACCGTTTTTTTACATTGCATGAATAAAATACAAAAATGTCGGTTCAGTTAATTTTATTGATAGCGGTTATCATATAGAAGCCTGTTTTGAATAGAGGTCTGATTTTCAGAATACACTGTTGGCACACAAGCCTGGTTTAGTGTTGACGCACATATATGTAGGACTCAGTATAGAGTCCATGCACTATATGATGTCCAGCACCCTATATAGAGTCCATTGGTCCAAAATCCACTATACAGAGTCCAGGAGTCCACTCAGTTTTGATCAGCTTCATCCTGCCGCGCAATCCCCTATAAGCAGTACACTTTTTCTACAAGTCCCCTATTCACGGTCCAGGAGTCCAGTTTATCCAATCACGCCGTCCTGTGTGTTGTGCCCGAAAGAGAAAACACCTTTTCAGTTTTGCTTGCCTCATGGCAGCGCATTCCTTTCTTCACTTCAGCCATGGCTGCCAGTTCTGCTGTGCAGTTGATGACAGTAATCTGTCTCGAGGTAACCAAGGAGGATAAGGAGACGTTCAAAATCAAATCTGGAATGCGTCTTGTGGTTCTCTGAAGACGTTTCATCCGTGCGCGGGATGAAAGCAGAAATTGCAGAACGAGAAAAGTTCAGCACAGTTCAAATCTGACGAGTCAGGTACACTGACACTCTCTTTCGTTCGACGCCACAAGGATCCCCTGTTTGGCTGGCCATTAATTGCATTGCTGCCAGGAAGGCGTTTGAACGGTTTCATCAGAGCGAGGGATGAAAGCAGAAAGCGGAGAACGAGAAAAGTTCAGCACAGTTCCAATCTGACGAGTCAGATACACTGACACTCGCTTTCGTTCGACGCCACAAGGATACCCTGTTTGACTGGACAGGAGCTGCCTGTACCACCGTGTCAAAAGGCTGTCCAACTACATGGCAGGACGATGACTGAGGTAAGGAAGCTTTTACTCGTTTCGATTGGTCTGCTGTTCTGTCGTTATGCTTGAATTTTTTTCCATTTTCAAGGATCGTATCGCGTTTGTTTGATGTTGCTTGAATGAATGCCCTAAAAAGTAATCAACCACTTCGTAATAGTCCTCAAGGACTGCAAGGACTTTGCATCAATCGTATACGATCGTCTAGCTATCATCAATATTATTATTATTTTATTTCATGAGAAAAGTATTTTATCCCTGTGATAATTATGTGAACTCCACGACACTCTTCCTCTTCTAGGCTCTAGTATGATGTCAAATACAATGGGATCCACAAACGCAGTGCCAGTGTACTAGTAGTAGTAGTAGGAGGATTTCTTGTATGCCGATGACAAGAAAAAGCTTCAAGCTAGTACATGTACTCGTATTCCCAGAAGTAACCATTTTGATGTCACAAACATGACATTGTGTCAGTGAAACTGCCTCGTGACAACAAATCATTGCATTTCCATCTTGGGGAAGACTGACTGACTGCAACACTGTACAGATTGTTTAAATCATCTCATTTCAATTTAGTTGCAGTGAAGTGAAACACTGTACACTACATGTATGGTGGTGTGTCTGTGCGTCTTGAGTGTGCACAAACGATCTTATTCCTCGTATTACTAATAGATTATTGTCCCCACCGTCACCTGTTTACAGGTCTTTGTGTGGATGGATTTTCATTGAGCATCACATTCGTTAAGCACTTGGTAGTTGTGTGCTCCCACAAATCATAACGGTAATAAGCGTGTATCCTTGTGCTATCTACTTTTTGCAGGTGTGCTGATCTTCAGAAGCTTGCGGAACTGAGTTCTGCTGAACATTTGCATGGCCATGAGCAATGGTGAAGCTTGCTATTGCACTCCAGCATGTGCTAGTACTATGCTGACTACTACACTATGTTACTCTCTTACACTAATAGGTGCGTGCACCCGTCCATGTATGCATTCGTTTCGTATAATTATTTGTTATCCCTCTTGACTTTACGTGTCAATGGGTGGACGTTAGCATGGCTGTTGGAGTTGCGTGTGTATTAGTAGGAATGGACGAGCGGGTTCTGGGCCAGGGGGCGCCCGGGTCCCAAAAAATGGGGTATTATTGAAAAATGGGGTACTAATAGTACCCCATTTTTGCGGTGAAAATTATTTTTGGCCCGGTTTTTTTGCGGATAAAAATATGTGCCAGGGGGTGCCCCTACCTCAAAAAAAAAAAGGGGGGTATTATTGAAAATATGTATTGGGGTGTTATGCTCTACCCTAAACAATAAGGTAATATGGTGTCATGATTTGGAATTCTACATGTATCATTAATTTTGATTTTTAGGGTGTGGGTAATATGTCCTACCCTACATCATAATATTGCATTCCGATGTCTAAAATATTACTATTTCAAATGTCAATGTTATCTCACTTTTTCCAATTTTATATTAATCAGAACTCATAGTTTTGCAGTATTTTGACTTGTAATTTCAATTTTTCGGATCATTTTCCGGACCCCACCCACCCCACCCCGACTCCCCTCCACCTCCCCCAGGTATTTCTCACAAGTAGCTCGTGTTCACAAACATGGGAGAGTCAGATGTTTAAAATACTTGTATTAACAATATGCCTCACGGTTGACACATGACGATAATAAGATAACAGCTTGCTCTCTACGAGCAAAGAGATACAATGAAAGAGAGAGAGAGAGAGAGAGAGAGAGAGAGAGAGAGAGAGAGAGAGAGAGAGAGAGAGAGAAGATAGCACCCATTTTGTTCACCCAGGGGATGGCTCACGCCTGGTAGGAAGAGAGAGAGCGAGAGAGAGAGAGAGAGAGAGAGAGAGAGAAGATAGCACCCATTTTGTTCACCCAGGGGATGGCTCACGCCTGGTAGGAAGAGAGAGAGAGAGAGAGAGAGAGAGAGAGAGAGAGAGAGAGAGAGAGAGAGAGAGAGAGAAGATAGCACCCATTTTGTTCACCCAGGGGATGGCTCACGCCTGGTAGGAAGAGAGAGAGAGAGAGAGAGAGAGAGAGAGAGAGAGAGAGAGAGAGAGAGAGAGAGAAGATAGCACCCATTTTGTTCACCCAGGGGATGGGCTCACGCCTGGTAGGAAGAGAGAGAGAGAGAGAGAGAGAGAGAGAGAGAGAGAGAGTCTAGCAATCAAAGATATCTTGAGAAGGTACTACCCAGGAGCGCTTCCTGGAAACTTCGATGATTGGAGCTGTATTCGAAGCCTGAATCGTCACAATTGGTTCATCCAGGTCATCATCGGCCTTACGCTTCCGGCTTACTACATAATCACACGAGACTTCCGGCATCTTCTTAGGATATCCTTCATCGTCGATGTCGATCGTGCCGACACGCGCAACAACACGGGTTATCCTCGTCGACATCACTGAGAGGCGGACAGATTTCGTCGACGCTTGTGAATCCCCGTCTTTTCGAAAGACCTTGCGATCGTTGAGATCCTTGATGACACGGATGAGTTCCTGAGCTTCGATCTGCTCTCCATTTGCAAACGTCTCTTCGACAATATCCAGAACACCTGCAACCTTCATCACGTTGTACATCGATCTTCGTCCGTCGTCCCAGCAGCGGAGCAGTCTGCCCGTATCTCTCCATGATGATGATCCATAATCCTCTACACCATCAACAACGATCTTCGGTAGACGCTGGTGTTTCTCACCGCTCACGAGAACGCGCGTCGACACCCTGCACAGATACTGTGCAATCTCCATGGGAGTCAAGTCCGTCCGATCCGGGTGAAGAAGCATGGGTCTTAGCTCGTAAGCTGTACCCAGATCGGTGAGTAACCGAACGGTTAATTCATCTTTATTACTACAAGAAAATAAATAAAACTTCTCTACATACGGTTCGGATGTTGACCAGGCCGACATCTTTGATCTGGTAGAGAGAGAAATTCTGGAGACGGTACTCGATCATCCAATGGACTCAAAAATGAATTGTGAACCAAAAATGAAATTATATCAGGTTTTATAGGTCCCGCCAAGTCCCGTCCCGCCGGGTCCCGCCTCCGGGAAGGTGACGACCTTGGAGAACACGGTGAACACGGTGCGCGCCAAAAACCAAAACGTTGCTCGCGACATGTCGTGTCTTTTTTGGTTCGGGTTTGGAATCTTTCCATTGACATAAGTCAATTAGTTTTCCATCTATGTCCGTAATCGAAAGGTCCATGAGGTGTAGAATTTTTCTAGCTTTCCTCTCGTATAATTCTTTTCGACATACAACAATTCTTTCTCGAACTTTTAGCTGCTGGAATACCGGATTCATCTTGACCTCAGATGCACAGATCATGCATCCATGCATTGACGTCACAGTACATCATTGCAGCACTGATTTCACTGTGAAGTGTGGAACATGGGTCAATGCGCGATAAAAGGATGAATGTGATTTCAGCGGGAAGTGCGCTAATTGGTCACATGTTTTCAGCGGGAAGTGCGGTAAGTGGTTAATTGTTTCCAGCGGGAGATGAGTGGATTGGTTAATTGAAAAACAACCAGTTATTCCGAATTCAACTATTACGAAAACCCTATAAAAATAGATCCTCGGTACCTTGTCAAGCCATTGTGTGGTTGTCCGCCACCACCCCTGCTCAGGATGGAACCCATTCGGAAGAAACCTCGTCAGTCTTTTGATGTAGTGAGATCATCTGATCTGTTGCAATTCTTTAGTTATTGTCCTGATCAAGAGTTTGCAGATGTACTAAAGTTTTTCTCTCATGTTCTACCGTCGCTGGAGCTGCTTCTTGAAGAGAATATTGAGCAATGGGGTCAGTACAAGTGTTCTTTGGTAGTTCAGGTGGTGATGCAGAAGCTGAATCCTGCTACAGGACAAATGGTTTCCAACACATTCTTCTTCCGATCGAGTACAACGCTGGTGCTCAACACCATGGAGCTGAAGGACCTTCTCAGTAGGATGATTGCTCAGATCAACGCTCGTCTTGATGATTTCGTTCGTCATGGATCAGGTTGGGTAGTTGAACGGATTTCCTGTTTACACATCGAAATGTCACGCTACTGTGTACTTGGAGGAAGTTCGTACATCCCCTTGCCACCGGAGTTGAAGTCGAAGAAGGCCATTGTTAACGTGCAGAACACTGACAACAAGTGTTTACTGTAAGTATAGCAGTGGGGTTTCAGTGTGGTGATACGGTGTATGGATTGAACTGTATGACGTCTGTCCATGTCTTATGTCATCCGTACTTTAGATGGTCAATACTGGCTGCTAAATTTTCGGCAGACAAGTCTCATCCATGTCGTCAATCGTCGTACGCAGAACATGCGGATACTGTGGATGTGAGCGGCATCGAGTTTCCAGCAAAACTGGAAGACATACCAGTCATCGAAAGACTGAACGACGGTCTTTACATCAACGTCTTCGGATATGAAGAGAAAGTCATATATCCGTTAAGAATTTCTCAGCATCCGCAGTCCGCCATCAATGTATTGCTCATCCAAGACGAACGCAATGACGTGGAGGTGCAGCACTGGGTGTGGATAAAATCATTCAGTCGTCTTGTTGCTACTGGAGCACGTCGAGCACATTTCGTCTGCTTCAGATGTCTCTCAACACACGTCACGGAGAAGGCATTGAATAATCATATGATGTACTGCAGTGAACATCCTGAAGCCACGGTGAAGATGCCAAAGGCTGGCGATAGAGTGATGTTCAGGAATGTGAACAAGCAGCTTCAAGCCCCATTTGTAAGTAGAACATTTAATCAAGGTGAACACACTGTGGTCTGTTTTTTTTTTTTTTTTTTTTTTTTTTTTTTTTTTTTCTTTTCTTTTCTTTCCTGCACATGTTTCTTGACTCTGATTGTTCACCTTTCTGCTGTTTTACTCGGTGTTGTCTCTGCAGCTATTCCTAATTCTCTATCTGTCTTTTCCGCTGTTTTACTCGATGTTGTCCCTGCTGCTATTCCTACTTCTCTCTCTCTCTCTCTCTCTCTCAAATGCAGGTGATCTATGCCGATTGTGAGGCCTTCATAGAACCTCTGTCCGCTGACAAGAAAATCGGTCATTCGACATTCCAAAAGAACAAGCATGTAGCCTGTTCCTGTTCGTACATTGTAGTACGATCTGATGGCGTCGTCACGAACCGTTTCTTCTACCGTGGAGAAGATTCTATGTTCTGTTTTCTGCTGTCACTTGAGCAAGAGGAGGAGACTATCCGTGATGAGCTTCTAGCATGTAATGCTGGTCAAATGATCATTTCAGAAAGTCAGCAACGTGAATTTGAAACGGTAGTCTCCTGTTGGATCTGTGGTGAAGCGTTGGGTAGCGATCGTGTACGTGACCACTGTCACATCACCGGTGCTTACCGTGGTGCAGCACACAACCATTGTAACCTGAACATGCGGATTGAGCCGTTCAAGATCAAGATTCCTGTGATCTTTCATAACTTGAAGGGATACGATTCTCATCACATCATATCTGCCATTGGGAGAACGTCCACTGATGAGATTACGTATGTGAACGAGAAAGGACAAGAACGGGTACGTTACATATGCGTGGTGTGTGTGTGTGTGTGTGTGTGTGTGTGTGTGTGTGTGTGTGTGCGTGTGCGTGGATCATGATGTTTTTCTAAGAAGGAAGATCATTACTATGTTGGTACTCATATTCACGTTTATATGATTGATATTCATCTTTACAGCTGCACCTTAAAACTGTGTCTCCTCTTTTTCTTTCTTCTCAGACCAAGCGTCTCGGTGCTATCAAAGTGATTCCCATCAACAGTGAAAAATATGTCACATTCGGATGGAGACAGTTCCAGTTCATCGACAGCCTGGCATTCTTGAACACCTCCCTAGACCGGTTGGTTTCGGCCACACCACCAGATGCATTCGCCCTTCTATCCGCACGATTTCCAGACGAGGATGAACGCAAACTGTTGACACGAAAGGGTGTCTACCCGTATGAATATATGGGGTCGTACGACCAATTCGAAGAAACGCGTCTACCACCCAAGGATGCATTCCACTCAACGCTAACGAACACGGTAAGTAGTGTGATAGATATAGTAGATCTTTCTCTCTTTCTTTTTTCACCATCTTACTTCGAAGTACTAAAATAAGCCAAGATGTGTTTGAACGCTTCCTACAGCTTCATACTAAATAATTGATTGTGTGGGCGAACTACTAAAATAAGTTCGTTGATTTGTTTTTCTTTTTGGTGTACATTTTCTATTCCCTAGGGTATCAGTGATGAAGACTATGCCTATGCGCAAACAGTATGGACTGTGTTTGACTGTGAAGATCTAGGAGACTATCACGACCTCTACCTGGAGACTGATGTGCTGCTGTTGGCTGACGTTTTCGAAAACTTCAGAAGAACTGCTCACGCAACCTATGGATTGGATCCCGCTAATTACCTCACCTTACCGGGATTTGCCTGGGATTCGCTGCTGAAAATGACGAAGGTGTCCCTTCATCTCATTTCCGACATTGACATGTTCAACTTCATTGAGCATGGCAAAAGAGGTGGCATAAGCATGGTGTCCGCTAGACACGCCACCGCCAACAACAGATATCTATCGGAGTACAATCCAGACGAGCCGTCAAGCTTCATCCAATATTTAGATGCGAACAATCTATATGGATGGGCCATGTCTCAACCCTTGCCCGTGTCGGACTTCTGCTTTGAAGCAGTGACGGATGATCTTCTGGAGACGGTACTCGATCATCCAATGGACTCTTCGACGGGATACATGGTGGAGTGCGATTTAAGGATTCCAGATGGTGTGCATGACATGATGAATGACTATCCGTTGGCTCCTGAGAAGATGAAGGTGACACGAGATATGCTTTCTCCATATCAGACCCACATGGCAGAGAAACTAATGGTAAGTCATGGTCTATCTGGTGGATATGCTTGTATTAATCTTCTAAGGTTTGTGTATATCTATACTGTACTCTTGTAGGTGACCGGTTTGGAAGCGAAGAAACTGGTACCAAATCTACTACCGAAAGAGCACTATGTTCTGCACTACAGAAACTTGCAGCAGTATGTGTCCTTGGGTGTGGAGATTACAGATGTGCATCGTGTGCTCTCCTTCACACAACACCCATGGATGAAGCCATACATCGACACTAATACTGACCTGAGAAAGCTATCAACTTCTGATTTCGAGAAAGACTTCTATAAGGTGGGTACTCCACATCATGTGTGTGTGTGTGTGTGTATTTAGCGATAGTGTGGGATCTAGTATGTACTGGAAGTGTGAATGACCTGAAGATAACAGTTTTCTTATTGTTGTTTTTCTTGTCTTTTCTTTGTATGCCTGTTTATCGTAGTTGATGAACAATGCTGTATATGGCAAGACCATGGAAAACGTTCGAAACAGAGTAAACATCAAGCTCATTCGTGAACAGGATGAAAAACCACGTCTCCAGAAAAGCATCAACAAACCTTCGTACATCCGCAGTGTAGCCTTTGAGAACGATCTGATAGCAATCGAGTTTGCCAAGACAAAGGTGACTCTCAATAAACCCATTTATGTGGGTACAGCCATCCTCGATCTGTCGAAGCACTTGATGTATTCCTTTTACTATGAAGTTCTCCTACCCCGCTATGGACAAAATGTACGTTTGCTCTACACTGATACTGATAGTCTGATCGTACATATTCAAACGGATGATCTGTACACCGATATGTCAAACAACATAACAGCCTATGACACATCCAACTATTCACCATCCCACCACCTGTACAGCACGGTCAACAAGAAGGTGGTAGGGAAGTTCAAGGACGAACTAGGTGGCAAACCCATCAAGGAGTTCATTGGTTTGCGGAGCAAGATGTACGCATACCGCTGTGAAGACAACGACGACAATGGCAAGCGTGCCAAAGGTGTGCAGAGAAGCGTGTTGAAAAACACCATAACCGTCGATGATTATCGAACATGTCTCGTCGAGGAGTCTCAGCTGAAGAGAACAATGAATGTTCTTCGAAGTCGACGACATTGCATTCACGGAGAGGAGCTACACAAGATTGCCCTCTGTGGATTCGACAGTAAGCGTTACATTCTGGAGGATGGTATCAACACCCTGGCATTCGGACACAAGGATATTCCAAAGCACTGAGGGATTTCCACACATACTAGAGCATATGTCATATCTTCTCATGAAATACATTGTAAATACTATGCGATTCATAATATTCACGTTAATCCAAAGCATGAGCTACATTGTACATATGAAATGCTAATACTTTTTGAGATCATTCACATCCTTCTTTGTTAACCAGGTATGGAATTTTTCGTCTTGATAACCCTTCCATTTGACGAGCCGACTGTTCTTGTTGTATTTCAACACCTTATCGAATCTCAATCCTGTGTGTCTGGCATGTTGTAGCTCAGCTCCATAGAACTGTCCTTGAATGACTTCTCCCATCAGGTCTTGAACACGATAGGTGTGAGGTACAGTGGGTAGGACATCGTTTACCACGAACACTTCCTCTGTCCAGTTGGGCGTGTACCCTTTCTCGAAATGACGTTTAGCCACAGCCAAACGCACATCATCACCCACTTTGAATTTAGCTGGTGATTGCTTCGAGTGTACGTCTGCATCTTTTGGTTTTCCATCAAGAGAAGCTTTCGTGGGACTCATGCCGATACTGCGATGTTTCGAGCTGTTGTACTTGACCATAAGCTGAGGAAGGACGTCAAGATACTGTGTCGTAGCTTTCTCCGTGAAATGGCGCCACATTCTGCCTTTCAGTGTTCTATTGAAGCGTTCCACCACCACGGCTTTTCCTTCGTTGTGGGTGCTGTACATGATGATGTTGTGATCCTTGACCCATTGCTTCATTGTTGCATTGTAGAACTCCTTGCCTTCGTCTACCCATAGTTTTTGTGGTACCCTGTTCGATGTTTTCAGGATCAGGTCGAATGCATCCCTGACAGCAGAGCCAGTTTTGGTTTTCAGGGGTACTGCCCAGGCATAGCGACTGTACAGATCGATGACGGTCAGCAGGAATTTGTAGTTCTTGTTGCTTCGGGCAAACCGTTGCATATCCACTAGATCGGCACTCCAGATGTGATCCACAGACCTGCTCTTCACCTTGCGTCTTTTGAAATGCACTCGTCTGGGTTTGTGCAATTCGTTAGCCAGTTGCGTGTGGAATGGTGTGGACTGCGACTTCTTCTTCTGTCTTCCATCATGAAGTGCTTTTTGCACTTTCGTATCCCACAAGGCTCCACCACCTCGCAAGGCACCTAAACTGAGAACCAGTTGATCGTTTTCCAGCTTTTCATCCTCATCGAAGACTCTTCGGAAAATTCGAAGTGCTTCATCCAGACCATATTTGGAAAATAGCTTTCCCATCAATATGGCATACCATCCACATACTGCTGTGCTTCTGTCTTGAACGGCTTGGGTGTTGGTGATGATCTTACAGTCTACATAGGCTTCTTTAAAGAAATCGCACAGTGCAGGTTCAGTGTAATCTTGCTCCATAGTGTATAGACTGCGTCCGAAACTGTCAAAAACCAGGATCACGTTTTGCTCGCGACACACGGTCAACCAATGATGTCCACCTTCCGGTGCATCGTACACCGGTAGAACGTTGTCGGTGTTGACGATACAAAAGTCTCCATTGTTCAAGGGTGGTAAGAGATCGTAACTTGTACACCCCACGAACCCTCCGACACCATTCAATCTTCCTTTGATGTCGGCACTGCTGAGAGGGTAGTCCATTCTTGTTCATAGCCTGAAAATTTTCGCGCACGTGATCACATTGAACGTCCACTCAGGATATCCTTGATGATACGAGTGATCCTGCTTTTATCCTTCAGAACCTCTTGAATGAATGATGCATCGTCCACCATCACCTTTTGTGCTCTGATCATGAAATGCTCGGGATGGATCAATTTTGCTTCAGTTGTTCTACCATACGTAGAAGTCATATCATTGAGATCTTGAAACTTGAGCTGCGATCCCGGTACAGCTAGCACTAGGGTGGCTAGTTCATGAATCTTTCGTTCTGATCGAAGGAATCCATCGACATGTTTGTGGATTCCCACCGCACCCGCTATGGTTGCAAACGGGTACCTGGACATGTAGATGCGATTCGTCTCGTTGACCAGAGTAGTGTAGTCGTTCATCGTCTGCGTCTTCAGGGCATCCGCAGCCGCTTCCACCCGACTCCTGAACCTCAGTCGATCTTCATCGTAGAGTTGCAGCAGTTGTGATCGGCTTGTGAAATAGTTGCTCTTCAAAAAGGTTGCCGGTATATTTGTATGTCGGAGGAAACTGTCCAGGATTTGTAGGATCCATCGGTCAAATTCGTGGTCTTGTAATAGATTGAAAGGCACTGATGTTAAAGGTGCCTTTCTCTTCTTCCTGACATCTGCAACGGAATCGCGAACTTGATCGGTAGTGGAATCATAGTTGAGTATGTTGGATGCAATCACATTTCTCACAGACGGGTAACTGATGTGATCGGGATTGTTTTTGAAGTGGGTGTCATATAGACGCTTTACTCGCGGATCAGCTTGCAGTTCCAACAGGGTGGAGGTGCTCAAACTGTGATCTGGCACTTGGGAAAGAACTTTCTTGACGCTTTTCAAGTAGGTATTGTAGTTATTACCTCCTTTTTGCCGCATGAGTGGTGGTATACCGAGAACTTCCCACGAATTTACTCTCTTCTTGAGGATGTGTTGAGGATGTTTCGACATAAACTGCAAGGTTTGCAACCTTTTACGCTTGGGTATCGAGAAGGATCCCTTTCTGGACCCCACCCTCTGTATACTGCTCGGTAGCCCATTTGAGAATTTCACCGTAAGATGCTCCATTCTTATTCATTATTGGAATTTTTTTTCAATGTTTCGGCTAACTTTTCGGCTAACTTTTCGGCTAACTTTTCGGCTAACTTTTCGGCTAACTTTTCGGCTAACTTTTCGGCTAAACACGCACATCAACGAGGTTTTTATTCAAAAGTCACCTTTAATGCAGTGTCTTCGCAATACGTGTAGTACTGATTAGAAGAGCAATCAATGGTTAGGATAGGTCTGCGACACACCGCCAATAACTTCTCATACAATCTAAAGATAATGGATGACTTCGTGCACAGACCACCAAACAGAGTATTGAGATAACGCTTGATATTGCTTTTATCAGTGAAGCGAAATAGATACATAAAGTTTGCATTGATCTTCATGTCCTTAATGTTATCAAAGCTCTGAGAGAGAAAGAACACGTTCAACTTATGATGATGACTGTACATGGTGAAGAACTTGTAGAGACACTCTCTTTGGCTGCCGTGCTTCAAACCCATCACTCTGATGTCATCAATGATCACATAGGTGTTAGGCTGGAGATCCATGTCTTCGATACACTCGGGCATGGTGCTGTAATGCTTGAAGGATTTGAGGCTTGGGAAACGATACTGATCGGCCGGCGTGTTGGAGATGACAACTATACGCTCAGGTTGCACACGTTTCAGGAGCTTGATGAGAAAGTAGGATTTACCCATGTTGCTCTGTCCCAGAAACAATACGTTTTGACCCCAGGATTTCAGAGCAGGAATGATTTCCGTGAACCAATCCTTAGACTCGAACTGAAGACCAGGAATGTGCAGCCCGTGTCGAGCAGTGGTCGTGGTCGGAACATCGTCGTTCCTTACGGGACTAGTCTTTTTCTTCCTCCCGATTTCCTGTCCAAGGAGCGAGATAAAGTCCATGATCAGATGTTGTAGGATGGACCGATGTGAGCGGAACTCATAGAAGACGGTCCTGCACTGTTAATGTTCTGTCGAATTTTTTGAGCAAATGGAGTTTCAGGACGGGTTAGGGATCTACGAGGTGCAGACAGGAACGATGAAGCTTCGTCGAGGGCACGATGTCCTAGTTTTTTGAACAAGGCCCTTCCTTGTTTCTTTATTCCTCGTGCCCTGCGGCCTTTGGAGCGAACTTGACGAGCTGGTTTCTTGGTTTTTCGAGATGCTCGTTGCCGAATCTTCTTCGGTGCATGCCGACGACGACGACTTTTAGTGCGCTTCATGGCACCTGCTGAGCTTCCCTTCCTTACTCCTCTGCCGAATATTTTATCCATTACGTTGTCACCCAGTGATGCCATGGTACCCATGGCCAAGGGAGCAGCCAGGTTCGTCAGGAGTGGTATGGCCTTGGCGGCTAATCCTGGTGGAATGGCTAGACCTCCTCGGTGCATGGCAGGGTTGTAAGCTGTTTTCATTTGCGTTTCCACAATGTCTCCGGACTCTCCTCTCCCCAAAAGCATGGGAAGAAGTGTCATTCCTGCCATGGCAGCCAGGGGTCCAAGTCCACCGCGTTGCATTGCATCTTGTTTTGTCGTGGGTTCCGCCATCTGTTTTTCCATCTCATCCGGTCCAGCACCGATTAGGTTTTTCCAGAAGCTCTTTTTCCAGAAGAATCCACCGTGTTGTCGACTCGATGTTTTCAAATCACCACCGTAGACACGATGTCTGGTCTCCAGGTCACCACCTTCCATGATGCCCTTTTACTACTAGGTCGGAATTAATTCATACAACTTCGGCTTTGATACCTTCATCTTTGCTCATGGTGTACAAGTACTTGTCCATGCAGAGAAGGTTGACTTTGATTGAGGCACCATTTTCGCTAGGTCTCCTCACGGGGGCGTTTGTCACGTCGCTAAATTGATAGTCGATGGACAGATTTCCTCTCGATCTTGGATTGTCTGTGGTCCGATCCAGATTCAAGTTGATAGGCACCATAAAGTAGTGATTGCAGTAATCTGCAGCGGTGATGGGGATTTGCGTTCCATACGTCTTGCCGAAAAAGTCTTGAACCAGATTGTAGCCACGCAGGTAGGAGGATTTGTTGTAATCGTAGAAGTATTGCCCTTCAGTATTACGACTCACATCCCACTGGAACTTGAGCGGGTTGTCAAAGAGCGTCTGGTCGTTGACAGTGACACGAAGTTGACTGAGATTTGCATGAATCATGGCCAGTCTGTTCGAAGAATGCGATGCTTGGCCTCCAGCCAATGCTGGCTGTGTACCATGAGTCAAATCTGTGAAGAACAGGATCATCCTGCGTGGAATGTCCGCATTGTGAAGCAGTTCCAGTGTACCAGCATCATCTGAAATGCTCTTTTGTATGAGACGAGGGCACCACGTGTGGAAATAGAGTTGTTTGGGAAGGCGTACACGATCGGTGAGATTGGGTTCCATGCGATAGGTAGTGTACACAAAGTCCAATTGGAGTAGATCGATCTCAATATCACCGACGCTCAGAGCACTGTTGGCACCACCGCCTTGATCGCTAAGCA